TATATATATATATATATATATATATATATATATATATATATATATATATATATGCATGCTTATCTGTTAAATAATAATAGATGTAGGATTTTCGCAAATCTTTGAAAAGACTCGTCCTCTCCACTAAAAAAAAAAAAAAAAATCCATGTGCACAACACTTTACCTGCTCCCGAGAGGAAACGCCTATTAATTGCGTGCAAGAGCATGCACAAACCTCTTTTTCCTTGTGCACGCTCTGTTTAAAAGTTGTTGCTTGCATTGTTCATACAAGCTTACTTTCCAAAATAAGGTTTTAAATTTCTCCACCATGTCAGACTCACCACCGTTAAGTGAAAATTGGGACGTGCATGTAGGACAGCTGTACGTAAACATATCACCAGAATGATTGACAATTAGGAGGACCATTTATTTTGATGATCCACCCGGAAAAATAACATCCTCCACTATACCTTTAATTTCAAGCCTATTGGACAAATTATTGTCTTAAAATTTCTTTACATTTGTAAGTTTCAGCATCATTCCACCTTTATTAAAGGCTGGATTGATACATTCTAAAAGTCCAAAATCATTTCCTACCAGAACTGTTGTAGTAGAAGTAAAAAAATCCAACTAAAAAAAAAAAGCTCCCTGCTAAAATCTGATTTTCATGTGGCTGGTTTTCAGCTAAATAGTTTTCATTTGGAGATGATTATTAAGTACTTAAAATAATTGATTTTCTTCACTAAAGCACTGGCTGAAAAAAAAAAAATCACAGCTGTTCCTACAACTGTTTTGCAGAAAGGAGAAATCCAATATCAGGTTTAATCATGTACAACGTCATTTATCACCATCCTTGTAGGAAGAATTCACTCTAAACGTCTAAGGTTTCAGTGATTTAGGTAACAAATTTGTAATACTCTACCAAATGTAAATACAAATTGGATAGTTCAAACCTTTCTAAGCAGAAAAATGGCTGACTTAATATCTGATGCACAACCTGCACTGCTACAGCAGGCATGTGGTTGGAACAACAAACAGCACCTATTTGGTATTCTGTTTGTATTGATAATAGCCCATCGATGTCAGTACCCTCTAACCTCCTTAAGTATCCTAATTATTTTTTTCAACAGTCCTGTTTCCAAACATGTTTATATTCACCATCTGCATATTTTCACATTTAACACGTTAAAATACCATTTTAAGATTAGTTGAGTTTCATAACTGTAATGCCTTTTCCATTCTTTATTGTGTACTAAAAGTCTTTTTTATTTAATGTTAATGTACGTATTGTTCTGATAAACCCCAACCCCAGGAAGACCTATATGGCAAATGGTTTGACAACATTGAATGCATAAGATATATATTGTAATGATAACAGCAGCTGTACCATCAGAAGAAGCAGATATAATGCAGTTAGTTTTGCCTATTTCTATCTTTAACCCACTGCACCAACATGAAGATCTCATGATGAGGTTGAGGCAAAGCAAAGCTTTTCCATAGTGGACTAGTCTCCTCTGAGTACTTCTCTCCCTTTCTTTGCTTTCACCTTACTATTACCCGTCAGTCACAGTAATGTGCAGTGGGGCTCCAGGCCCATTTGCTGCCTTCTTGCTTTGATGCCCACCAGCGAGTTGTTTTCACTATGCTTTCATGTACAACCTGCACTTCTTTGGAGAGCTAATTTCATGCTTTTTGGTCTTGAAGAAGTGTGCTATCAATAGTTGTTTTCTATTTTCCTTAAAGTGATTATCATTTGTAATTTAAATAGGGGGAAAAAAAGCAATGATGAGTCTATTTCTCGCCTTTTCATTAAATACCAGACAGCTTTATGGTCATGGATGCTTAAATTCTCATTAGAATCTGCTTTTAGAAGCACGAGTTTCACTTGCAACTTTTGGGAGCTATTTTCCATCGGAGCATTGAACTGAAACGTTTTATTTAAGTATTTTAGTATCAGTTAATCATGCTCATTTAGGAGGAACCAGGTCATGGGGGCTTATGGCTGGATTACATAAAAATGTCAGTGTCTAAATGCAGTTCAAATTGCCCTCATTTAGAGCTTTACAACAGTTTGACACAGAATATAAATCAACCAGTGTGTGGCCTGTATAAAAAGGCCATCTTCTGATAATTTCTCTGTTTGTCATTTTTTTTCCAGTTGGTGGGTGGTGAGTTTGACCTGGAGATTAACTTCATCATTCAGGATGCTGAGAGCATTGGATGTATGATGGAGCTGTTGGAACACTGTGATGTCACCTGCCAGGCTGAGATCTGGAGCATGTTCACTGCCATTCTTAGAAAAAGTGTTAGAAACCTGCAGACATGCACTGAAGTGGGGCTCATTCAACAGGTGCTGCTCAAAATGAGCTCAGTGGATGACATAATTGCAGGTATGATGATAATATGAGTAGACATATCATTTGTGCTTTGCTGTTTTAAATGTAAATTTTTAGCTGATTGTTATTTTAATGCCTGGCTGCTTTCATAGTTAAGCTCTCAGCCTGTAGGCAAAATCATTTACAAATCAATCTTTTTACAAAATGCAAATTATGTAGCCACATAGAACTTGATGGAAATCTGATTTCCATCTGCATTACTCACTCTTCAGGGATGATGTTGATGGGGTCTGCTGAGGATTACAAATGTAGAGCTTCCCTAGTTTGATGTTATTATAAAATTACACCTATAAATATGGAAATATAGAAGCAATGAAAGAGCAATGCTGGAGAAACTTATTAATGTATTTTATCCATCCAATCAGGAGTTTTATTGCTCAGGTCACTTCAGACATTAGTTAGGGTTCATGAGTGCTTCTTTGTGCAAAGTTTCACAGCACATACAACAGTTTTAAATAAGTGTGAGCCCCGCATACCTTTGTCGTTTTTCCATTTACATTTAGATATTCATTTAAAATTTAATAATTTTAAAAATTATCATAGTCTTATTGAAAAGTTGACTCTGAGGGACAATAAAGCCTCTGGGCTCACAGGCCCAATTCTGAGAAAGGTTTATTCTCAGCCTTGTCAGAAAAAGTTTGATTTGGATAGATAACAATATTGATTGGTTAGATTACAATAACAGATTATAACCTCCCAAAATTGCATTCAAAACAGGTTTGCAGACATAATTGCATGAATAAACTGCAAATATTTGTGCATTATTTAACACACGAGATTAATGGCAAGCAGACTTGATGATAGTTTTTCACAGTGAAAGTAGTGGGATCTGATTTCTGAGGTATATTTAAATGATCTTCAAAAAAATAGTGAGGTAAAGTCAACATCTAAAGAAAATAAATAAATAAATCTAAAGAAAATATATGTGCTATAACTTAAGATAGAATTTGTCCTTGAGTGACTGGTTCTTCATATGTCTTTCTATCAGCCCTACAATAAACTAGCAGCCTATCCTACGAATAGCCGGTCTCAAACTCATTTGCCTCTAGAGATTTCCACCAAGTCCCCTTTGACCCTGTAAGAATTAAACAGATATATAAAAGGAATGGATGTGATGTTTTGTGTTAATTGAATTGTATTTAAGATCTGAAATAAAATTGGATTTTTCCGGCTGTCTTACTTTGGCTTTCAGTAAAAGGGAGTTTTCATTGATACGGGCACTCTGCATGATTACTACTTATAGGTTTTAAATATAATTGAATTTCACTGACAAAATGTAGCAAACAAAAGAGAAAGCTGTATTATTAATAAGGGGAAGTAACAATTAGAATTAGCACTTCCCCTTAAGCATGCCTTGTGCGGAGGATGAGTTACGATTTCTATAAAACTCAAGCCAATTTTATGATGGTCTGCTCTCCTATACTCCTGTTTTTGTGTGTGTGTGTCCATCTGATATCTTCTGTAAGACTTGCTGGTGGATATGCTGGGTGTTTTGGCCAGCTACAGCATCACAGTGAACGAACTGAAGTTGCTTTTCAGCATGCTGCGAGGGGAAGGAAGCCTTTGGGTAAGTAATATGACAACTGAAAGGCTGGATGAAACTGTATTGCTTTTAGTCAGTTAAACTCTCTATGATTTGGTGTATTCAGTAACTATAAAATGCTTCTTATAATCCTATTTCCTTTGACACATACAGCCAAAGCATGCAGTCAAAATGCTGTCAGTGTTAAACCAGATGCCCCAGAGACATGGTCCAGATGTGTTTTTCAACTTTCCTGGTCGCAGTGCAGCAGTAAGCTTTGTGTTTCATTACTATTATGAGTTCATTAAGTCTAGATTCTTCTGGAAAATATTCAATCAAAAATGTTTTATCTTGGGTAATATAAGGTGTGGTAACCTGTGGTAATCCATCTCTATGTTTGAAATCTCAAAACTTGAACCTGACTAAGCTAACATGTGCCTGAAGTACAAATTAAGTATTTTAAAGAACTTTATTTGTTTCACCAAAAGTAAATTTGTTTTACAACACTGTGAAAATCACATTTTATTTCTCAAAGTTGCAGAGAACAGTTATTTACGGTGATACTGCATTTCTTTTACTTAATGTGTTTACAGCATGCATGATTTCACAATCCTTTATCTGATATTTTGTATTATTATGAAACATCTGAGTAAATGTGCTTTTGCATTTAATCTCGCAGAAGCTTATATACATTTAGCCAAACACACTTGAAGCATGGTTAAAAAATGAGCCTTCTAACAAGCTATGTGGGGAGACCACAAAACAGGCTTAAAATGAAAGGCAACCCGACTTTCGCTAATTTTTATTTTTTGAAGAGGTTTGGACATCCTTCTAATTCAGATGCAAATCAAATAGCCACCCCTTTTTCTTCTGGATCGTTGAAACTTTTTGTTGTGCATAGACTATATGATTGGTCCTTTGAATCAGGATAGGAGGGCATATAGAATTTCTTTGAGATGTGTTCCATGACGGAATCGTAAAGGTTTGAAAGCTGAAACAGCTATACTCCCCCTTTGTTCAGAGATGGGATTTTTCTTCACAAAGATATCTCCGTACACCCCTCTTTCAAACTATCTGTCCACCTCCATCCAAAATCTGATCTTCAAAGCTGTGTCTTTTGTTCCTGAGTCCAAGTGTACAGCTAAATCTGCGTTACTGGCTTCCTTATGATGTGCCATGCAGTTTATGTAATTGTTGTTTGGTTTCTCCAATATATGAGAGCCAGTAATAACTGGTGTGGATCGCATAAAAATAATAATTCTTAGCTTAGGTTTGGGTGTTCTGTTAGGATGAACCGTTTTTTTGTCTTACTATGTTATTGGGTTTCAAATTCACCGGTATTTTGTGTTTGGAAAAAGTTCTTCTGAGTTTCTCAGAATTTTCTGACACATAAAATGACAATTTTTTTGCGTATCTCTCTTTTCTCCTCTGTGTTAGATACTGTTGTTGTTTTTCCAGGGAATTTTTTTGGCCTACTTAAAAAATGCCCAGTTTGGCTCTCCCACATGCTTCAAATGATTTTCTTAACATGTTTGGAAATTTTGTTGGCTATGGTTCCAGCCAACAAATCTGACAAAAACTCCTGGATAAGCGTTGAAAACCTCTTAAAAAACTGAGTGGAAGTCCATTTACAGTACCTTCCAATTTAAGCCTGTTTTGTGGTTGCCATGACCTGGATGACCGAGAATTTACATGGGCACTTTTTATAGAGATATAACAAAGGAAATGGTTTTCCTTCCTACTTCATGATGTTTTTGTCCTTTTTATAGGCAATTGCTTTACCTCCTATTGCAAAGTGGCCTTATCAGAATGGGTTTACATTCAACACTTGGTTCAGGATGGATCCGCTGAACAATATCAACGTAGACAAGGACAAACCATATCTCTATTGGTGGGTTCGCACAACACTTGTGAGACTTGTGATTTATATTTAACCTTAACACTTTTTTCCTTTTATTCCGTTTTGTTTACACTAACAGCAGCTCTATGACAAAGCCTTATTCTCCCTGAGGATTTGTGTTCAGCCCTTTAGTAGTTTATGACTGAAAAGTCTATATCAAGGTTAAAATTATTTTACAGATGTTGTTTTTCACACATAGACTGCTACCCTATCTGTAATGCGTTTAGGAAAATGGACATGTCTTTCCCAGATAACGGCATGAATGCTAAGTGAAAATAAAGAAGACAATAAAATTGCTGAGATTTAAACTTGTGTAGGCATGAAGGAGCGCAGCTGGAATACTGAGGGCTTTAAGTCGCGGCCGAGGTAATCATTTCGATCTACATAATTGCCACAAAATGCTCACATACCAGCTTCTACTAAAGATTTAGGTAATTATAGGAAGAATCAATAAACAGAATTTTCTACACTGTCTGGCTCTTCCTTTCTCTGTTTATTGAATGGCTTTTCATGGAATTCAAAGAGCAGAATTTATTATCTAGAGTCAAAGAATCAGAGTGGACTGAAAGGTGGAGGGATGAAACTGACTGATTAGTCAGAGATAATAGTTAGCCCGGACTTATCGGCTGGCTTTCATTGCACCGGGGATAGAATTGTTTGACTGAAGTAATCCCTCCTTTTAACTGAGTTTGTCTAAAAAAAAAAAAAGAAATAGTAATGGCCATTTATATATATATATATATATATATATATATATATATATTGTTTTTTTCCTTTTTTTTATAACTATATGAAACATTTTTTATGCCGCCATGGCAACAGGTCTTTCACTTGTGCTTGAATTATACTAAATTAACTAAATATATTATATTAAATCTTAAAATGTTAGTTTGTGTCATTCCATTTGGCATAAATAGCATATAAATGACAAAAACTTAAACCTGAAATTGGATTTGGTTCTGTTTGATCATTAAAAAAAAAAAAGTCATATGTAGACGCACTGTATATACTGTATATATCCCATGCACCCTTTTCTTCCTTTGGCACATTCTTCTTCTTTGACTATTTGAGCTGATGTAATAAGTAAATTTCTCCACTGTGAGATCAATAAAGTCAATCAATCATAAATGCATTTTGGAAATGTTCTCTTTGTTGCAGCTTCCGCACCAGCAAGGGCATTGGCTACTCTGCACATTTTGTTGGGAACTGTTTGATTGTCACATCACTTAAGTCTAAAGGCAAAGGTTTTCAACACTGTGTGAAGTATGACTTTCAACCCAGGAAGGTATGTTTATTTTGGCCAAAGTGATCTTTTATTGCAGCGTCTTAGACTCACACTGAAGAAATAATTAAATATTCCCTCTGATTACATTTATTCTGTAGCATATGATCTTTTATTACGAAATAATATTTTTCACTAAGATAGCTGCAGCACAGTTCTTGACAATTAAGGACTGCAAACAATTTAATTAACTGTGATGTTTTTTTTATACAATTTTACACTTTTTTTATTTTAGTTTTCCAGAATGTGCTAATTTGATCAAGTCTGACATTTTGTCTTTGTTATGACCTTGATGCCACTCCCGGGCCCATTTCTAGTCAATTGCAGGATCTCCCAGATTTATGTTGCCATTAAAAATGTAACAAGAATTATGGGGTAAATAAAAGTCTCTAAAAACAATGTTCAATAACAGCATAAGCACCTCAGGGTCACACAGAGTTAGCACAAAAACCTTTAGTGAAATCTAAAATGAATGATTAATACATATATGTGAAATTGGTGGATGGATCATGTTCCATCCACTAATGTCACATTGCACCACAGACTGCTCAGGAGTTGGTGGATGTTTTAGTCCCGCTATGGGAGGAGATCCCTCAGGAGACCTTCCACCACCTTAATCAGGAACATACTAATGCATTGTAGAGAGGTCTTACAGAAACATGGAGGCCACACACATTCATGAGCCTAATTTTAAACCTGCTATAAAGACATTACATCAGTAGTTTGATCAGCCTGTTGTGTGCTGATATTATATATATATATATATATATATATATATATATATATATATATATATATATATATATATATATACAAAGAATCAAACCTCATTTATCCCCGAGGAACTGAAAAACTCACCTGACACATATAAAACAATTACAACCTTCACATAGCACTTTGATGAAAGCTGTTCATTATAGGAGACAGGGCGTTGGTTTTGAAGCTGTTTGGAGATGAAGAGCATTAGTTAATTTTTTAATAGATTTTTGGATTCAGACATCCCTGAATAACTGCGCTTCTAATTGATCTACAGTCAGCTTTAATTCTTCTGCTCAGTCATGAATCTTCTTTAGCACAGTCCTACCTTTAGGCGAAGCAGTTGTAATTACACTACCCCCCCCTTCATAGGTTGAACTAATATATTATTGACACTAGTTAACAAAAGAGTTATTTTGTTTTACCCTATCTGCTTTTTCAATGCAGTACAGATGTAAAACTTGGGTTTCATTGGAAAGTAACTGCAAATTAACTTGTACTGCCCTGAGCAAAACACGGGAACATACAAAGAAACACACTTTGCTTTTACAATGAAAAAGCAGACAACCTTTTCTGAGATTAAGCTGATTAGGACTTAAGTCACTTATTACTAGAAATGATTCAAATATTATTTTTTTAGAATTGTAAATAGGCCGACAGTATTTTCTAATCATACTGTCACCTTCAACACTTTTCTGAAGTCATGCTCGCGTAGTTGGCACACCTACTTTGCATTTTTTTTTCACCTTTTTTGCCTTACGTGGAGTTGCCATTTGAGTCTATTTACATGTAAAAGGCAAAAAATTATGTTTTTCTTTTTTAAACTCTTCTTTGATTTTTTTAAAAACAAAACCAAAAAAAAAAATGATTATAGCAGTTTGAACACTCAGGGCTGCTCTGGTTTTTGTTTTATGTAATTAGAGCTGCAGGATATGAGGAAAGGTAACTATGTTATGGTTGTTGATATTGGGTATTAAGATATTTATTGTGCTAAACCCAAATTTTCCAAATTTTACCCACCACCTTCTCTGCAATAAAGCATTTGTTGTTCCGAAATATTTAGTACGAATGGCAGTAAAAGTTTATCCAACTGTATATTATTAGGAAACAGTTCTTCAATTGATATTACCCGAAGTTATAATAACTTGCATAACATTTTTGCCAAGCTGTCTTTATTAATTATGAAATTGTGAAGGTGATTGCACTTCAACATAATGTGCAGCTCTATATAGATAAGGTAATTAGTAGGTTTAGCAAAAAATGTCAAGTCTTTTTGTGTGACAGACCAAAACAGAGAAGTACATAAATGATGTGGAAGAAACTGATAACCCTCAAAAAAGTGCAACTGATAGCTCACAGAGAGGTTAAAAACTGAGACAAGGATCGGAGAAATGAGACAGTTTGCTCCATTAGAAAATGAAAGGAGTATGGCACTGAGAACTACTAATACATGGCCTTCTACTTAAACTAGGTGGGTATTCAATAAGAGCAGTAATCAGAGAAGCAGCTAAAAAGCTTATGGTACCTGTGTATCAGAGCTTCATTTATGTGACATATACAGTACTTACTGTAGGCAAAAAAGATTGTGTCCAGCTTTGCAAAGGTGTGACGGATTCTAAGGCCTCCGAGCTATAGTTGTAATGAGGAGTGGTTCAAGAACATATCCATCGAGGGAAGGTGAATGTTACTGTATATAAATCCAAAAGTTTTAGCTTTTGATTTACAGGAAATGTCTGATCTACTATATGTATCATGTTCCTCAGGTTATAACTACTAATAAGTTGGTGAGGCACTGTTGTGAACGTAAGGGAATATTTTACATGTAACATAAACATGTAACATTTCAACATAAAAAGCACTCACATGTTAATCAATAAGTGCATATACACTATGTAAACTAAACGCAAATCCACCTCTATAATGCTGTAACAAAGTTCTACATCATCCAGCAGTGTTAGACAAATAGTTTATTTTTTTGAACTTTTAGTTTTGTTAACTGAAAAAGAAAATGGTTCTTCTAATATTAAATTTTCTACAGAATCCCAAGTTGAAATAATCAGTGATGGTAGATATACAGAATAGGCCTGGGGTGTTTTCTCATTTCTGCACTGCTGTGATCCTGGTTTTTAGACAATTGTTTTCTTGGTGTGACTGAGATGCTCAACTATTTAGTAACTGTGTAAAAAAAAAAAAAAAAAAAAAAAGCTGCAATTCTTTTATGTGTGGAAAGAAAAGATAAGAAAGGGTACAATTTTTTTATTATTGAATGTCTCTGAAGCTTGTTTCTTTTCAGTCTGACATACTTTTCTCCCTACTTCAGTGGTACATGATCAGCATAGTTCACATCTACAGTCGCTGGAGGAATAGTGAAATCAGGTGCTATGTTAACGGACAGCTTGTGTCTTATGGCGACATGGCATGGCATGTCAATACAAATGATGTAAGTACTCTTCACTTGTAACACATTGAACAGAATTTCTTTGTAACACAAATGTTTTGCATTTCCAGCTATTTTCATAATGAAAAGCCAATTTTGATTCCCCTAGCAGTATGGCAAGCCATTATGTACACTCTGATGTGGATGATGGATTTTTAAACGTTGGAGCTATAGTTTACAGAGTAGAATTTCCATTAATGCATGTACTTTAGTGCATGCTGGGATTTTTCTTTGTAAAACAAGTTGAAGAAAAACTCTGCTACACATATTGCATTTCCTTCAATTTAATAGTGAGGTTATTTTTACTTTAAAAGAGAAATGATCAATGAGTCACAATTATTCTGTTGAGAATATTTTTCTTAATGTGCTGCTAGCAGAGAATAGGGTTTTTACAGCTGTGTACTAGACCTCTAAATTATTATTTTTTTTAGGATTTATATAAGTTTCTGAACTCAAGTTTCGAAATTTTTTATTTGTATGTTGTGATGTTGTGGACCTTTTAAAACAAAGCCAATGTTTACCTGGTTTCTTCACCTGAAATAACATATTGCTGGAATTGGATTCTAAATGGACTGATTGGTGGAGGGTTTGAGTGTATAAATATACCCTATTAATATGTTTATAATATATAATGACGTTAATTTGAACATAAAACATGGAATTATTAAAATCTTAAAACATAAAACTTCCCTATGTTCCTATGTTCAGCTGGTTCTAAAAAGTTTTTTTTTTACTTTGAGTTACATTGTATGGAAGCCGAGAGCGGTCATGTCCCTCCGATACTTTTTCACGATGGTTTTCTTGAGAAAATAAGTTAATTTTCTCATTATCTAAAGATCACATAAGCTGTTATTCTCGTAATAACAAGACGATTGGTTTGTGTTAAAACTGATTCCATCCTCCAATACCACAACAAAGGGAGAAGATTTATAAGTATAAGTCATGGCAGCCTATGTGTAATTCTGTAAATAATCCTGTGTTTAAAATTTAAGTAACTAGACGACGTTGTTGGTTTGATGATTTGCTTCCACTTCTAAATCATAAGCAAGTAGATCTATGCCTCTGATGCCTTGGTGCCAGTTTTTTTCTGATTTTCATTAAAAAACAGATTTGTTTCTACTGTATACAATCATCCACCACGACCTGACAACGACTGAAAAGATAAAAGGAAACTAAAAACTGATTATTTGCGCACACGCGTTACTGCGACTGCACAACTACAGGCACCACAGGCATGGAAGGACTGAGAATCCAGGGCTGTTGGCCAGCCTCATTCATTACTCATATGGGGTAATCATCTTATTATCTGGAGAAATCAATAACTGTTATCTTAAGAAAACAATTAATGGTTTAACCATGATAAGGAGATAGTTATGTCATAAGAAAAAAAAAAAAGTCGAGTACGACGCTCTTGGATTCCGTAAGATTGTACATGTAAATTCTAATTTTAGTTAATAAATGAGTTTTAAACTCAAACAATTTGAATAAAAATGTCCAGGAATTATTAAAATCTTAAAAAAAAAAATTCCAAATGTCCAGCTGGTTATAGTTAATAAAAATACTTTAACTTTGAGTTAGATTGTACATATAGTTTTACACTTGTCAATTGATCATTAGTGAAGTTAGAGTACTTGTTTTAGTTTTGAATTTCTTTCCATCAAGTTTTTTTTTTTTTTTTTTTGCATTTAAAAAATTGGTAAAATGATTATTTAAACACAAAATTGCTATAGTTTATTTCTTTGAATGAAGAGTTTTTGAAAATGTTTGAAAATGCTAAATGATTTTGCCTTTCCCCTCATACTTTCTTCTTTCAGAGCTATGATAAGTGTTTCCTTGGATCCTCAGAGACAGCAGATGCAAACAGAGTATTCTGTGGGCAGCTTGGAGCTGTCTACGTATTCAGTGAAGCTCTCAATCCGGCACAGATTTTTGCTATTCATCAGCTAGGTCCAGGCTATAAGGTATGTGCTTCTGGGTGACTAAATTAGATTACATATAAGCAGTCTGAATCACCCATCCATTTGTGTAATCAATGAGGAGCGCTGCTCTGGTGCTCCTTGCCTTATGTCTCCGTCCTGCCTTTCCTACCAGATAAACCGCTGCATAAATGACCTATTCTTTAGGAATAATAGCGCAGTACACAGGGGAGTAGCTGTGGGACCTTAGTGAGGGGATTGAGTCCTGAGCCAACTTATCAGCTACAGAAATTGTAGCAAGCTTCCTAAGGAGGATCATCTGACTTAAAATTTTTAATTTGCTTTACATAAACATATGTAAAATGGTAACGTTTCTATTTGTTTGTTTTGCTTTTTTAAATAGAGATTTGCTTGTTTTTTTTTAGTTTCCTTCCAATGAAAGATTACATTTTTCGTCTTTTTTTCCCACACTGTCTGGATTTTACCATTGACACATGAAGTGTTGCTGTTATTCAAACTTCTGAACTGCACTCTTTCAGGAAATGTGCAATAAACAACACTACAACATCTCCAAACCCTCCATGTCTCACAACATGTATATTGGTGATGATGTTTGGCAGCTTAACTTTTCATTCCTTTTTTTTTAAGCAAAATTAGACATTTTCATGTCAGTATAGGAAGGTGGTTCTATATCTGGCTTGTCGCAAATTATTTTACGCAGCACCTTCACTATTTGGACCATTGTAGGCAGGGATTTTAAAGAATCTATAATTTGTTCTTTCAACTGATGACAAAGAAAAATCTTTCGAAAAATACTATATTATGATTGAAACTGCAATGAAATGGCAAAACATATAAATTAACATGTTTTTTTCCCTTTTTTCTGCTGTGCTAACCCTTTTGTAATATAATTATACTCGATTACCAAAGTAAGAATAAGGAAAGTGTTTAAAATTTCTAAATGATGACTGGGCTCCATAAAGAAAATTGCCTGTAAGCGATGGAGCTCGGATAAGTAACAGAGAACATAATAAATCTAGCCTAGTGGGTTGCTGTAATTAGAAAGTTGTCCAGCTGTCAGGAATCCTTCCTATTTTAATTAAGAGCTGCTGGATATGCATGAATGCAGGAGATTACAGCATACTTTGGGTCCTATATGTTCACATCTTTGCTTAGTCACTGGATAGAAACCTCTTCACTGATATGGGATATTTTTATATTTTGTTCGTGAATTTTTTTTCATCTGTGTTTAATGTTTGGGATGCTTTCTCTTGTTAATCTAGTTCTTCAATTGCAGCTGTATTTTCTGCCGATATTATAAATGTAGTGATTTTTGCTGTAGTAGGACACAATTTTTCATGCACGTAATCATAAATTTATAAGTAAGCAGAATCATTAACATTTTTTAATATGCTGTTTGCCAATTTTTCTTTGAGTTTTAAATTAGAAACATTGCATTATAGATATAATTAGAAAAGCACTCTGAGAGTACAGACCTCCACCAAGCTCATTTCCAGAGCTCATTTCCACTGACATATTGTGACTTCCGCCTTAAGTTTATACCGGTATTCAATTCAATTCAGTTTATTTATATAGCGCCAATTCACAACACAAGTCATCTCAAGGCACTTTACAGTTTAACCAGATCATACAGTCAAATTGATTCTAAGTTTTCTATCTAATGAAAACCCGTTGATTGTATTGACTCATTGACTCAAATGCAATCCGTCACACCAAGCATGCTTGTAGCGACAGTGGAGAGGAAAAACTCCCTTTTAACTGGAAGAAACCTCCAGCAGAACCAGCCTCAGTGTGAGCGGCCATCTGCCGAGGCCGACTGGGGTTCAAGGAGACAGAAGCAGAGGCACAAAAAGCAGCTGTAAAAGGCGGCCCCGTTCCAGGAAACACACAGCCAGGCAGACGAGCACTGAACCAGCTCCCATGTCAGAGGATGAAGAGAGCACATCCAGCCAGTCACTGTCAGAGAAACAGGACTACACTGGAAAACAGGCCGATCTCCAGCATCTATAAACAAGGGTGTTGATGGAAGCAGCACAGCTGATATTTCTCTCCAGGATGGTGTCACAGCCAAACAGGAACAAATGAGGCAAAGCTAATCGGAGAAAAAGCAGAGAGAGCATAACGTTAACAGCTTCTGCAGAGTAGGAGAATACTGTAGAGAGGGAATGAAAGAGAATGATGAAATAGGGGGCCCCTATGTCTTCCAGAAGTCCAAACCTATAGCAGCATAACTATAGAGATAGCTCAGGATAACCTGAGCCACTCTAACTGTAAGCTTTATCAAAAAGGAAAGTTTTAAGCCTAGTCTTAAAAGTAGACAGGGTGTCTGCCTCACAGACTAAAACTGGTAGCGGGTTCCACAGGAGAGGAGCCTGATAACTAAAAGATCTGCCTCCCATTCTACTTTTTGAAATTCTAGGAACCACTAGTAAACCTGCAGATTGAGAGCGAAGTGCTCTTTTAGGAACATAAGGAACAATCAGATCTCTGATATAAGATGGAGCTTGGCCATTTAAAGCTTTATATGTGAGAAGGAGGATTTTAAATTCTATTCTGGATTTAACAGGAAGCCAATGAAGAGAAGCCAGGATAGGAGATATATGATCTCTCTTTTTAATTTTCATCAGAACTCTGGCTGCAGCATTTTGGATCAGCTGCAGTTTTTTAACTACAGTTTGTGGACTTCCTGATAGTAAAGAATTACAATAGTCCAGCCTCGAAGTAACAAATGCATGGATTAGTTTCTCAGCATCACACCTGGACAGAATATTTCTATTTTTTGCAATATTCCTCAGATGAAAGAAGGAAATTCTAGAAACCTCTTTGATATGAGATTTAAATGACAGGTCTTGATCAAAAACAACACCAAGATTTTTAATTTTATTATCTGAAATCAGTTTAATCCCATCCAAATGAAGTGACTGGCTAATCAGCTTATTTTTCAAAGACTCTGGTCCAAAGACTATAACTTCTGTTTTGTCTGCATTCTGAAGGAGAAAGTTAAGAGTCATCCAGGTTTTTATGTCTTCAAGACATGCCTGTAATTTATGTAATGGGTTAGCTTTATCTGGATTTATAGACTGATATAGCTGGGTGTCGTCAGCATAACAGTGAAAATTAATCCCATGCTGATTGTGAGCATATATAAAGTACTGATTGTGAGCATATATAAAGTAAAGAGAATTGGTCCTAGCACCGAGCCCTGTGGTACTCCACAGGTAACCTTTGAGCATGAGGAAGATTTGTCATTAACATGAATAAACTGAATTCAATCAGATAGATAAGATTTAAACCAGTCTAGCGGTGTACCTTTAATTCAAACAAAATGGTCAACTGTATCAAATGCAGCACTGAGTTCCAATTCACAGAATCTTTCGAAAAAGTCCTGGATCCAGATTGTGATCCTGATCGTGATCACCTTCTCTGAAATTTTCAGTATAATCCATTCTTAACTTATTAATCTATTTTAAAAACAGACAAACAGAAAGACAAACAAGACAAATGAAAACCTTCCTTCCTTGGTGGAGGAAAATATTAAAAAAAATCTTTGCACACATGTCTTCAGTATATTCTTATCTACTGTATCTCTTGCTCTGCAATTCAGACATGAATTGCAAACCAAGCATTAGTCATTGGTCTGACCTGTCAAACCAATTAAGCCATGACTTTCCATTTTTTCAAATGATGCACTTGGTTATTTCTGCTCTTACATTATATCTCTGCTTCCATACATGAGTTAATAGAGGCAGATTAGCCCTCTGACTTTGTGCCAGTGCTGCGCAGCAGTATTCACCACACTGTGCTTTAAAATAGATTGGCTTGTATACTCTTGTTCCTCTTTTCAAGAAAATCAAAAGTAAGGTCAGCAGTATGGATTAGTAAGTTTAGTCGATTAATTAAGTGTGGATACAGAACAATACAGCTATGGCACACAAAGTAAATAAGATTAAACAGAAAAAGGAAATCTCTAAATGAATAGGATTGTAAATAAAGCAGATTATAGAGAACATATGAACCGTCATTTTGCCAATTTAAAAACATTGAAATTCAAAGATTTGGTTGACTTTAAAACTACTCAATTGATGTACAAAGTAAGGAATAATTTGTTTCCAGTACATATTCAGGGTCTATTTTTGATGAAGGACAGTGCTTATGATCTTGGAGGGTATAAAATATTCAGAAAACGCAAAGCAAGAACAAATGTAAAGCAACAATATGTACCTTCTGTTGGGGATGATGTATGCGGCAGACTATATTAGGACTGTCATGATCGGTTTAAGGAATCTTAAGGAATCTGACCCACATGCAGAGAAACCACTCAGAGAACACGGGGAAAAGTTTAACAGGTTTATTTGATGTAATGTAAACAGAGGTTTGATCTGGAACTCGGTGAACTGGTGAACAGGAACTGGAAAGTCTGAAGGGGAGATCACAGAGATAAGTTAAGGGACCGTGGGAAATGAGACTGCAGCTTGAATTATGCTGGAGAGGGACTCATGTTTGAGGGGGCTCTTGTCAATCCCTGAATCCAGTCTGTGTGGGATTATCCAGAGAAGGGGGAACTCATTGGAGAGCAGACAGGTATACTTATGTTTGACACAGAAGAGTAATGGAGCGTACTGTCACTTGGATTTCCAATGGGGACTTGAACGGATCATGTGGAAGTTTTCCCCTGTTCAGGGTAAACTCAGTAATTCCTTCCAGGGGGAGAAGGTCCAGGTATCCAGTTTTCACAGGAAGGCTTCCTGCCGAAGAGCAAAGACAAAAACACATAAGACTCAGAGAAACAAAGCTCAGGTTAGACTCAGCTAATCTCAGCTTGGCCAGAGTACCCAAAACTGGCAAACACTCTGGCATCGAGGTAGTGACAGCCCACAGCTCAAATACTCCAGTAATGAACCAACGAGCCGCAGATGTGCAGGGAGGCCCAACGAGGACAGGGCACCACCTGGTGGTGGAGAGAGAAGAAACATACAAACGACCCACACAAACTGGATTCCTAACAAGGAGCTTAAAGACTGTACAACATTAATAAGGTTTAAAAACATATTTATAAAAAATGTGATTGAACACTATGAACTAAGTGAATGTAATTAATAGCCGGAGGATATTGGCTGTACTACCTTTTTCCCTAACGCTATAGTAGATTGTGTATTATAGAATGGAGCCATCATTTTTTTTAAGCCAAGTGTAACTTGGTTTTGGAGGGTGGGTATTATTAGCTTACTGCTTCTGCCAATAAAACCTTTTCAGACTGTTTTTATTTTTAATTTATATTACAAGGACATATACTATCCTTTATTGTATACTTGTGTGTGAGAAAATCAAATATCATGTTAAAATTAGGTTTACAAAAATATCCATTTTATGAATTCCTGTTCTACAAGCTAAAGCTTGTTAGTTTGTTTTATTTTTGTAGTTTATTTTATATGTTTACTTTTGCTCTTGCTTTACCTCAAAATGAGTTAATACTTTACATCAGAAAGTATTGACCTATTTTTTTTTTGTTATTGGAGTAAGAGTATCGGCTCCTTCCTTATTAGGGATTTCATTTTACCTCCTACTGGGACGGTTCTTGATGTAATTTTGAATACATGTTGCAGTACTGAAGACGTTTTTTTCTGAGTTCTTGTTATGCTCAGTCCATAGATATCACTTGAGTGCCGAACCTTTTCAAGTGCTGGTCCTTCCTCAGTGAAGGCCCTTAGCTTTTGGGGCAAAAGGCAGAACGGTGCCCTAATTCTTTTATATGACTGGCTGGTCCGTGGAATGATGCTGTCATGCTACAAGGTTTTCTAGTCAAAGCCCATGAGATTTTTATTTTCACACTGCTCCAGTGTTTGCACAGAAGAAGAGGCTCTGGAACGTTATTTTTCACAACTTGGGTTTCATGCATACATAGCACCTCAGGATGTTAGAGACTTCATGATGAGTTCCATAATGGCTGCTGTGTGGACTTGATCATAGCAAATGAGCTGAATATTTATAATATTTTTTTTGTAGAAACCAACTGGGAAGTTGCATGGCAGCGAGGATGTAGTTCATCTGTAATATTTCTTAAGTTCTGTTATGGAGAAATACTTGCTTGGATGCTGCACCAGCTGATATTGAGTTGATCTATATCAGTTCAGGAAATTGCTTATTTTATCATAGTCACATTCAGAGAAAAAAAAAGCATTTTTGTTTGAGATAGTAAAGATAAACTATCATAAAACACACCATTGCAAATTAAATAAAAAAGTAAAGCAGTGATTTTTTTGTTTTGTTTTGAAAGCCAATAATCTTCAAAATCATAGCAAACATGCTCATCTGGAATGCATGCAACGCAAATAAGTTAGCTTGTATTACTAACTAAGAACAAGTAAGGTATTAAACTGTTTGTTTTTTTTTTTTGTTACATCTAGAAATATATGATTGTTTATTTAAACTAATAGATACTATACATGCTTTTTTAATACATAGCATGCAAAGAAGTGCACCTTTCTTGAATCCTGTAGCTATTAAGATGCACTTCTCATTATTTTTGTTTTCTTAAATTCTTAAATGGTTGATACCAAATCATAGCACCACCACTAGTGTTTACCATCCTCAGAAAATACATGTATATTGTAATACTAAGATTCAGCACTCTTTATATAGTTACTTTCACCAAAAATAACAGATTTTGATGTTTAAAGCAGGTGTAGAAATCCCTCAGTGGCGTTTTCTACACATCCTCAGGGACCATATGGTTGTTTCCTTGCTGCTGAGTTCTCTGTCTATTTTATTACCACACATGCTTGCTGCCCATAAATTAGAGAAGGATGGAAAACATTTCTCAGATTCATTTATAATTCAGCTCTACTGATTAGAGGAATTGATTTAAGTATTTAACATAGTTCATTCCCACAGCTTTGATGGATTAATTTAGCTTATCTGTCAACATTTAATTGATCGTGTAAATTCAGAATACCCTTGTATTGATAAGCAATTTGTTATGTTAACTATAATGGATGTGTTATTGAGCCATCGACTTATTGGACTTGCACTTTTATGCTGCAACCAAAGTGAATAGAGACAACTAAAATTAATAGGAAATTCCTGGGTAAATATGACATTAAATGGAAATCAAACACTTTCATTAAATTGTTTGATTAAACTTGGAATCATAAAGTAACAAGAAGTTTGATTTAAATAAAGGTATAGTTTTCTCTGAAAAGGAATTATGATTTATTTAACTTTAGAGATATTCTCTTTGACTAACAAGTTTTGGAAGGAAATTCAAAGGTTAATTGCCAACTGCCAGCCTTAATTTAATTGTGTTTTCAGTCACATATTATAACCCTTAATTTACTTCTTTTCAAAATGTAAAGAATAAAAACGCTCTCATGTTCATTTTGCAGCCATTTCCTTTTGTCCTCATGAGAATTGATAATGATTGCCTGGTCTGATACAGTTCCAGTGTTTGGTGTAGACGGTGGGATTAAATTAAAGAAGGTAAAACAATGATTTGTGCTATCAAAGACACCTTGATCCATTGCTCAGCCAGTGTTCCTCCTAATCATTACGCTATATTTCAGAAGTTGCAGAATCCCATTAAAGGGTGCTGCTCTGGGGAAAGATGAAAAAGGGAGAATGATATAAAACAATGTAGAAGAAAAAAAAAATCTATATTTGTTTTTACAATATACATAATATATATGGATATAATCAATGTAATGAATTACAGTATGTTTTAAAAAAGATATACAGGTTATTTTAATATATTTTGTAAACAGGAAATGAAGACATTAAGGTTTAATCTGGTACCCTACTCAGCTTCTATCTTTCTGCTTTCCAGTTAATTGTGCCAAGAGACGTTTGCATCACTGAAATTGTTGTAAATTGTGTTGCCTCCTCTGGCTGATTACACTAATAAAGATTGATAAAAATAAAAAAGACAGCTCTCATTAGTGTAGAAATTGCATTTTTAAAATCTGTTTTTCACTCAATTTAAACAGGTAATTCTAAAATAAAGTTCAATTAGGAAAACACCACAGGTAAACTGATAAGGGGCTTTAGCAGAAAAAAAGACTGCATTTGACTGATGTTTAAGTTTATTTGGTATTTCCCTGATTTGCTCTAATATTCTTTTTTTTTTTCAGAATACCTTTAAGTTCAAGTCAGAGAGTGATATCCACTTAGCAGAGCATCACAAGCAGGTGTTGTATGATGGCAAATTGGCAGGCTCCATTGCCTTCACCTATAACGCCAAGGCCACAGATGCCCAGCTTTGCCTGGAGTCCTCCCCTCGTGAAAACGCCTCCATCTTTGTGCACTCACCACATGCCCTTATGCTTCAGGTAAAATGCATCACTTCTCCTCTGTAAAAAAACATCTGAAGCAATCATACAGACACCTTTTTCTTCATGCTGACTAGAACAATTCACAAAAACTGTACCTAAAATAGTTTTTTTATTTTTTTTATTTTATATCCTCACAGGATGTGAAAGCCACAGTTACACACTCCATTCACAGTGCCATCCATTCTGTTGGTGGTATCCAGGTACTCTTTCCACTTTTTGCTCAGCTGGACTTTCATCAGTCAAAGGACAGCCAGGTGGAAACAACGGTCTGGTAAGTTCACATGTTGATACCACACAGAGCACAACCTGCCTTAATGCAGTAGATAGAGAATACATGATGCACTTGACTGAACATTCTGTTTGGCCCTATGAATGGGATTAAGATCCACTGTTTGTGTTTTTTTTTTTAGGAATAGCATGTGTAGCTTTGAGAGAGAACAGTTTGTTCTAGAGCCTGCAAAGGGGTTCGTTGTTGCAATTGGTTTGAATTCAAGTGTTTGATCAAATGCAGTATGCCTTCACAATATGATGCATATTGAGCTGTATAAACATATCAATATAATGTAATATAACAAAAAGCAGTTGTTGAAGTTGTGAAAATGTAATTTAATTTAAGCCCAATCAGGACCAGTCCTGGGTGCCCTGCAGCAATACGGCACCAGTTCACTATAAAGTAGCTCCTCTGTTGGATCAGACCCCCAAGCCGACCTTCATCCCTCATGTGCATCAGTGAGCTTGGGCCTTGACCCTTTCCCTGATTTACCACTGGCCCTGGAAGGTTCACTTTTAAATGAAACTGACATCTGAAGACTGGGAGCAAAGCATTAAACAAGCTTTGCTGTTTCAGACATGCATCGACCTTGGCATGTTGAGCCTTTCAGATTTTCTCAATCTAACAAAACATCACCATAAATAAGAGTCATGATGGAAACATTACCAATGTTATCCTGTTGTGCCTGATCAATCCATATTAAAATTGAGAGATTCCTGATTTCATGTTAGTCAGACGTTATATTACAGTGCTATAGCTAAGCAGTATGTTGTCCCTTAACCTTTTAGATAGGAAAGTCCTTTAATGCATGGCAACAGAAAATATTACTCTCAGTAAGCAATTGATCAAGTAATGTTTTAAATAAAGTTTTATTACACCGTATACTATAACAGTGTTTCTGAAGCGGTGTTCTCTATTTTCATTAATATTTCTTCTCTCATTTCTCTCATCCTGAGCTTGACATCCCAGCACTTCCATGTTGTGTACTGCATGGAATCTTAGCTCTACTTTAATACTGTGATAGTTTAATGACATGGATGGATGCAATAGTGGCCACATAGCTGCACAAATCCCTGATACCCTAAGCTCTCTGCCTCTGACGACTCCACTCCTCTCAGCTCTCCAACCCTCTTCTCCTCTTGTCAGTATGTTTTCCTCTCTGGTTCACAGTGTGCAGCCCTACCAAACACTGAGCTTTGTCGTTGCTTTAAGATTTAGTCCCTCTGTAATGCCTGCTGGGCTTTGGAGTTCAAAGCTTTCGCAGCAATTAACTCCCTATTTGGCCTAAGGGTTTGCTGAACTCAGCAGCATGTACGGAAAGTGATTTTTAAAATATCATTTTAATAATAATTTTCTTTGATTTTTCTTGCTGCCAACCTGAATAGAAAGAAGAAAAAGCATGCTACTCTGTGCCTTTTTGCAAGTTTACAATAAAACTTTGTTGACTTAACTTTCTACACCAAAACATGCAAAATTGACTGTGGTACTGTTTTATTTTTTTCTACACAGAATCTGTAATCGTATCAGTGAATGTCTGTTTAAACTGACAATGCAGCAGCACACAGAAAACACAAATAAGAGTTTGCCTTCTTTGTATATGGACATTATATAGGCAAGCCTGCCATGAGTGATTGTGGCCTTGTTTTTGTTGAGCTGGAATGGAAACCATTGATTGTGAGGGAAAGCCGATTAAAAAGTGTCACCAAGCACTACTGTCATGAAGCCAAAAGGCTTCATCTGAAAAGCTGCACAACAAAGAAACAGTGCATTCACTGCAATGCACTGGTCCTTTGAAACCGCCAATCCCAAATGAACACATAGACAATCTTTTGGAGTTCTTCTCAGAGTCTACCCCCTGACCCCAAGGGGACTGACAAACCCAAACTCACTTTTCTGGATTTAAGGGGGATGAAAGGGATGGCTTGAGTCCCCAGCTGATTGCTGACCTCCTCTGAAAATGACCTTGTTGTTTTCTTCCTTGCCTGAACTGTCTTCTCATGCCATAAAAGCTCATTTAATGTTGTTGTGTTTTTTTTTTTGTCAGTTTTACAGTAAACAATAAGACAATCTAATCTGCTCAGTTTTAGTAGATTAGATACGATTCACACTGAAAATACTTGTTAATGATGTTATGTTTATGTCTTTTTTTTATTGCAGTGCAACACTCCTAGCTTTTTTGGTGGAGCTACTAAAGAGTTCTGTGGCCATGCAGGAGCAGATGCTGGGAGGGAAGGGCTTCTTGGTGATCGGATACCTGCTAGAGAAAGTATGGAGCCAATCTCATCATTGTTATACAGACAGGCTGAATCTGAATAAATTTGGATATTATCAAACACTCACTCATTTATTACACAAAGAACTTGCAAATATTACGCAGTTTTTACCAAAGGATGATATTTCAAGAGTGTTATTGTTTTTATTTTTGATGATTATGAGACCAATATAAATTAGGTTTTTAGACTATATTCACTTGACCATTTAGCCAGTGATACATCTTGCAAGGGTAGTAAGCAAAAAAAAAATTGTAAAAAGTTATGGCTATTCAGGGTTTTGTATACAAATGTATTCATTACAAAGTTAAGTGGAGGTTAAGGGAGTAGAAAGTAACCACAACCTTGGAAATATTGTGAAGCAATCAAGCATTTGCAAAAGACCTGAAATCGCAGTTGCATTAATGCCACAATGCATTGACCCAGTATCTGATTCAAAAAAGGCTGTAAGTACTGAGTACTGTGCAGTGCATGGACATTCTACCCTTTAAGAGTTTGTATATTTATTAAAGAGATAATTAGATAATTCATTGTTATCAACAATAAAATAAATAAATCAATAAATATCTTTGTCTCGTTGCAAAAGTTCTGAATACGCTATTCTATCTTTAACCCTTTTCTTTACTTTATTATTTATTTTTGAATGTTAATATTAATTTTTTTTGAAAATCACCTATATTTATCTGGAATTTGAATTCTTTTACAATTCAAGGTGCTGCACCAACTTCTAAAGTCTCTCTTTGTATATTTGCTCTAATTATAATGCGTAACTTTAGCATACAATGCATACATTGGTAACGCTTTCTTTTTGAGTACATAAATAACCATGTAATAACATGGTAATTACATAGTAAGTTACACTATATTACTAGGTAACAAGGAACACTTTCTGGAGAATTTTGGTAAGTGCTGTGTTTCAAATTTTAGGCAGACAAGGCAAAGTCAGACTGCTTTGATTTCAAAACGTTATTACCAGGTAACAGTAATTTTACTGAGAGCAATAAATTAATGTGTAGAATGCATCCAGTAGAATGCAGTTTATTACTTGGCATTTAACAGAAAACCAAACCTAAAAGACAGCAAGCCAATCTTCTTAACTAAACTTGATTTATATTTAACTTGAGTTCAGTTTATAATGCTCTAGTTACTTGATCATATGTGGCTAATAATAGAAAATGTTATGTGGGAACCAAATGGTAATTACCCACCAAAGGTTTTCCATGTTACATAGAAATGTACAATTGTAATAATGACATGCAGGTAATTACTTTGAAATTATATATCTTAATTTTGGGGTTATTACCAAATAAAGTTTTTCTTGTTACCAAGTAATATAGTTTGACTTACTGTGTTATTACAAGGTTATTGAATAAAATAAAGTGTTATCCAGACATTATGTGAGTATTCCAGTGAATACTCTTGTTGCCTTTCTTGTCTTGGTATGCCATCTCATTTTCCATTAAGGTGGACTGTGTTTTGTCTCTACTCTCAAAGCCCTGTCAGCAGCCTAATCTTCGACTGCCTGTGGCAAAGTCCTGTATGTGTCTTTGAAATGAACAGAGGAACATGTCCCCCTCACTTTCTACATCAGTCTTTATTTACCCGTTTTGTGATGCAGATCCTAGCAGCAGGCATCCCTAGAGTGCTGTCTCTTTCAGAGCACTAAGATATGACTCCACTTTGTCACTCAGTGACTCGCCTGCCTGCTGGCTTCAGATGCTGTTAACTAACAGACTGACATAGTCGGCACCTGAGAGCTGCCTTTTTTTTATTCCCTTCCCTCCTGCTGCCAGGTTTCACACTTTCACATATCGCACCATCTGTTCATGATCTGTTTATGCCACAACTTCCATCCTCCTTTGGCCTTAATTTTTCTGTCTTCCTTTCTTTCACAAAAAAAAAACAAAAAACACCTGGATTGACAAGTTGCAGGCGGGAGCTGTAATACTAAGTGTCACATGTAGAATAGTCTTTTTAAGGTCCCCATTTTATGCTCTTTTTTTTCATTTTATCACATAATGTGAGCAGCTGGCTCACTAGATCCATTTCTCAACAATGTTAGTGTGATAAATTGATAACTTATTTTCTAAGAGAAGAGAAAAAAGAAAAAAAAAAGAAAATATTTCCCCTGAAAGGATGGATAAAATGTTTGTTTTATGCATGGTGCTACAGTGGGTAGCACTGTTTTCTTGCAGCAATAAGTTTCTGGGTTTGATTCCTGTGACTGTTAGGTTCATTTGCACCTCTAAATTGTCCTTAGGTGTGAGTGTGTGCATGTGCATGGTTGTGTGTCTGCGTGTTACTGTGCTGACCTGTCCAGGGTTTACCCCACCTCTCGCCCATAGACTGCCAGAGATAGGCACTGGCCCCACCCCCTGACAAGCACTAAGCGGGTGAAGATGGATAGTCTGAAATCCTCACACTGTGTGTTACAGTTTCAATAGGATTGATTGCCCCTTATTTACCACATAATGACTATTACTTTTTTCCTAAAAAAGGATTGTCTCCAAAAAGTTACAGTCATCTGTTTAGTAGTGAGCAAAAAAGTGTGACATGACTGATCAGTAGTGTGCAGCAAGGATAGGCACTACTACTCTTTGCTCTACATACTGCAGCCTTGTTTCAAATTAATTGAAAAGCTCAAGTTCAGCTCAAGTTTTTTAAATGATTCTATTTGCTGTTCATTTCTAGTATTTCTAAGTCAGCTAAAATCCTTTACCTGTAAATTGAAGGGATGTCATTAAATAGGAAAGGCCAGTTTATTTGTATAGCACAATTCAGTACATGGAAAATCCAAAGTGCTTTACATGAATTAGTTAATAAAAAAGAAAAAAAAAAATGAAAGTAGAATATAAGCAAAAACATTTGTAAAAGAACAACTACATCTCCTCTGATTCTTTTCTATATAATACACATCAAAATACTAACATAAATATTTTTTGTTGTTTTTTATGATTTTCTGGCTCTCTTTCCAGTCTTCAAGAGCTCACATCACCAGGGCTGTGTTAGAGCAGTTTCTCTCCTTTGCAAAGTATCTTGATGGCCTGCCACATGGAGCACCCCTGTTGAAACAGCTTTGTGATCATATCTTGTTTAATGCAGCCATTTGGATCTACACCCCAGCTAAGGTAAGCTCCTGCAAGTAACAATATGCAAAGCAAGAGATTTAAACTTTGAAACTCTTACACTGTTCATAAGTACTGCCTTTGGAAAAATTGGTTGAACATTTGTATTGCTGCTGATGAAATATGACTGCAAATGTGAAAAATATATGTAAATGAATAGACGGTAGAACAGGTAAAACTGAATTTCACCTTTCACCAGGGTTTAAAAAGAGCTATCGAACCACTGCTAAATGTCCCTAAGCTCAAAAACAAAGAGGAAAACATTGCTTAAGCCATGTTTGGCATCAGGAAGATTTGTTTCTAACATTGTGCAATTTCTTTTTCTGTCATTAAAAAAAGTTATACAGTATGCCTTAAATAGGACACTTTTAAGAGAATAATGTCAGCATGTGACATCTTTTCAATACATATACTTTATTGAAAGGTTATTGTTATACTCGCAGTGTACTTGTAAACTTCTAAACTGTTTGGGAGATTTTTCACTTACATTTAAATGATGACCCATAAAGTAAATATAGACATGCAAAGCATCTGAGTATCTGTGGCAAATTGAGGAGATTTTATTGGATGACCACAAATATGTAAATAAGAATATATTAAAAATGGCTAACATGCTTAGAGTTTAATACGTTAGCTTCAAAATGAAGAGATAAGTTGGATAAAAAGTGAGAGAAACAGATTTGTAATGAAGTACTGTAGGTAAAATCACCTTTAGTAAAATGGTGCGCTTTTCCTGGTGCCAAAGTTGCGTAATTCAACTATTTGTCCCATTCTGCGAGCTACAATATTAACGAAAGCTGCAAGCTGTGTGACTTGCATTACCACAGGGGAGTCCTGCCATTGAGACGTTTTTCACTGCTTAAACCATTAGACAAAAGAGGGGAAAATGCACTTGGACAAAAAGCCCAGATTGAAGGAAAGGACTTTTTGGAAGGACTGAGGGTGGAGCTTTGTAACTCTTTGCATTCTCTGTAGGTTAACTGGTGAGATAATTTTAAGTAACATGAATTGAGTTCAGTGTTTTAAATCAATTATCTATACCAAATATCCAGTGAAATGTATTATCTTTTTATTAAGCGCCAATTTGCAGTATTGGTATCAAAGTGAGAGATGAATGAGAAGCACACAGATAGGTTTAGAGATCGGTAAAACATAAAGCTAAACTGCACAATTATTTTACATGTGCAAACTAAAGACTATAGTAATGAAATAAGAGATGCTTTGTATGACTCCTTTTAAGAACTAACCTGGTTATGTTATATTTTAATAACATTTATCAATGAGTCTCTCCCCAGTATTTATGTGTCATTTTCCTGAAAAGAATCACATAGTTACATTTCATTGTATTAAACTAAAAAAGGGGAATTTATAAGTGGTCTGACTCATCTGTTGTCAAAGCTCAAATTAAATATTCATAACAGCTGGGTGTATAAAAATAATGACTATAAAAACAACAGTCAACATTCACAAAATGCTGTAAAACTTACTGGTTACTTGCATCAAAAATGTTAAATGAAAATGCACATTTTAAATGTACTTTGCAATTAAATTTTGGGTTTATCCCTTATCTCCTTTTAAAGTTTGAAGGTTTTTGCCACCTGCTAATCTCCATTCCCAGTGTGATGGATTAAGTATTTTAATGTTTAGATTACCTTAGAGTTGGAACATTAATGAATATATATATACTTTTTTTTTCTTTTAATCTCTTTCCAGATTCAACTTTCATTATACACATACCTTTCTGCTGAGTTTATTGGTACAGCTACCATCTACAACACAATCCGTCGAGTTGGTACCGTACTTCAGCTCATGAATATGTTGAAATACTACTACTGGGCCATCAACCCCGCAGACTGCAGTGGCATCACTCCAAAGGGCCTTGGTGAGCATATTTGTTTTTGTGGATGTTGGTGAGTTTCTTTCTTTCTTTCTTTTGTTTGTGTTGTTTTTGTTTGGTACTTCTTGTTGTTTGCAATTTGCTGTTTTTTTTAAACTTCTTTTTTTGTTTTGTTTTGCATAATAAAAGGGATTGTCAGTACTTCTGATTATTCTCTGCTTATTAGATCACAGTCCTCCCCATTCCACACCTTAAAAAAAAAAAGAAAAAAAAAAGAAACATATTTATTTATAGACATTTTTGTGTAATTTTACAGTTTTGATTATTAATTTATTAATAACTGTAACCAGGGGTTATAGTGAATGAATAATTTATTTAATCAAAGGTAAAAATCACATAAATGATGGTCAAATGATTATAACGGACAATTTGCTCAATTACAAGGTTTTATTAACGACTTACCTTTGAGGCTGGATGTTTAGACCGGCTGCAAATCCAAGTTGTCTTCACCATCAGTAAATGTCATTAACTTGGTTTGTAATTCAAGCAGAGGTATTAACAATTAACCAGAAGGAAAATATATGTCTCTGTCTATTCAAGTTGTTTACTCAAAAGAAGTTGATTCAGCTCTAAGAGACAATCGGTCACCGTTATAAAATAATCACAGATTACCAGAGTTAAAATAATGTCACTTCGATTTAACCTGATAATCCCTGTCACAATATTATTAGCTGTGTCCAAACGTCAACCCTAACACCTAAATCACTATATAGAGTGGGAACTATATAGTGGACTTTAAAGTGAACTCAGTTAATTTACCATTCGGACAGATGATCACTACTTTTTGCTCGCCCTTAGTCACGTAACTCCACCTCCCTGCACTGTGCATCTGCCATCTTTGTTATTTGACCAGGGCAAAACTGGGTCATAAAAAAATTATTTTGGGTCATAAAACTAGCACACAAGACGACATACCAACATACGACAAATGTAAGTGACTCATGGGGAAACAGAAATAATCGGATGAAGAAATAATCAGTAGAGAGATATAGAGGATTTTTCCTGCCAAAAAATCAAGAGCACAAGTTTTTAATTAGAGAGCAGAATTTCCTCTACTTGTAATGCTCGCATCAAAACTTCTGCCTTTTCTCAAATATATATTCATCTCCATCACATATTTGTTTCTGCTCTCAGATCTAATGCTTCTTGCAGAGATATTTTCTCTACTGTTTTACTTCCTTCTCCCCGCGCACAAACCAGTTTCTGCTCAGGTCAAAAGCTACGTTTGGAAACCTGTTGAGTTGGATTGTCTCCTAGTAACCTTTCCAGCCAATAGAATGACTGCCTTGCTTTCTTCTACTGAGTTTGCCTGTTACTGCTTACTGATAATAACATTGCTTGAGGGAAACCTGAAGGAATCTTATTTCTGTGTTTTTTAACAAACCCTGGAGAGTTGTAAGATTTTCCAGTAGACAAAGCTCCGGGTCTAGCGGAATCTCTATTTCTAAAATATTAGTTAGAATAAGAATATCCTGCCTGAAGGGCATTACCTTTGTAAATTCACCAGGTTCGGTGAAGAAAAGTTCCCACATCAATTATTGACAAGTTAGATTAAAATGGGTGTAGTTGATCTAAAGGTAAATGCTGTCCCTCACCATCAGCATTTTCTCAATATAGAAAGTTATAGTCAATGTACCTACAGTAGTTTTTATGTCTACTAAGACACTATTCTAACATAAATCAGTCAAAGTTGTTTATCAGTTATGATGTCAGTTTTGATTCTTATTAAATAAACCTGGTTTTGGGCCATCATCAGACAAGAGGTGATACGTCTTAGAGATCAATATAGGATATTTTCACAGAACAATTTTTCAATATTATTTTATCCAGCTAAACTATGGGCTAGTTGTATTTCTTTGTTGTGTTTTTTTTTTTTCTTTCTTTTTTTTTTTTTGATCTTTCTAAGAACTGATCGAAATCAACAGTGGAATTTTAGCAAGAAATTTCTGAGTGAACCAATATCAAGAACTCTGTGCAGTCACAATCCTGTTATCAAAGTGTTTATCAAAGTCTTAATCACTTCCTAAATAACTCATCTGCACATATAAAGGCTTTTCTGTGAGGTGGTTAGGACTATGGCCAGAAATTGGCAGTAAGGAATACACACTAGTATGATGTTTTGTGTGGGTGTTAAGTCTATGAAACGTAGCCCAGTCCAGTGACTGGCACACTAAGTCTGTGAAACAGCACATCACCAAACAGGCTGTAAAGGAAAAGAAAGTGTCCTTGAACTGTCATTCTGTTTCTGGAAGCCATTACTCTTTTCAGAAACTACCCACTTTCTAATATAGGGGCTGTTTTATATCGGTTGTGAGACCCCACTTTATGCTGCACCAAGGCCCACTGAAATTTATGTACTGAAGGTTAGAACTTGACAGCATTGATGTAATACTCTTCACACAATCAAAGTTCAGTTAATCTAATAGAGACTTTTTTTTTCTATGTCTCCACTTGCATTGTTCCTGCAGGTAATTTTCAATTGTATTAATGTTGCAGTTAAATTAATTATTCTCACAGACCGTGTAAGAACTGGGAGAATACTGCAGATTCTTAGATGTTATGAATTTGATTTGTTAAAGCAAAATAATTCTGAATTGCTCACTAATAGCTGGAAAAATTCCTGTAATAAGCAGAGTAGGGATAATATTAACATACAGAGGCAAATGTTTTCTTGAATGAAACCATAGCAAACAAATTAATAAGGTTTCAAGAATCTTTTATATATTTTTAATCTAACAGAACCCAAAGGAATCACAAGGATATTGCCATTTATGCATCAAAATGTTTCCTCCTAACCTCAATCTAATTTTCAGTAAAAAGATATGGTCATTATGATTGTTAAGGTTGTGGAAGTGCTTTATTTGTATGCAACAAACGAGTAAAAGGAGGAAAAAAGAATCAGGTTTTACCATACCTTGTCAGCAGATTGCCTATTAGAACTGATAAATATCATGTGTTTTTTTTTGTTGTCACCAATAACTGCAGTGATGAGTGGGAATCAGTTATTTGGCTGACATTTTTGTGTGAAGTCTGGAGGCACAGTAAGAACTCAGGAATGTCTTAAACCATGAGTAATGACCTAGGGTTTATTACAGTGCAGTGACTGGAATGATTGAATATATCAGTGAGGATATTTTCTAGGGTGTTCCACTATAGTGAGCAATGTACATGTAATAAAATAAAGCTAAAACAAGCCAAAAAGTTGTAAAAAAAAAAATAAATAAAAAATTAACTCCCCAACGCCGATGTTCCTGCTTTTTTTTTTTCACAAAGATGTGTAAGATGTCTGCGTACCAAATTACCGTTTCTTTACACTAATCAAAATTGTCCACAATGCCTTATTTCTCTTCCCCAACTAAGAGTTTTGATTAGGAGGCAAATTACATTCCTGATTGTAAGCGAAGGAGAAAGGAACCACAGCTGGGGATATATCGTAAAATGGATCACATTCCCGGTGTACATTAGTCTCAGACTGCCTAGTTTCATTCATCTTTGCTCGCCTGGGCAGCTCACTTTTTCTCTCTGTCCTTCCCAGTAGAGGAATGCCCAAACAAAAACACACACACACACCCAAATACACACCCACACACACGCAAAGAGAGAGCCAAGCAGATAATGAAGTGTTGAGTTATAGGCCATAGAGAGGACATTTAAAAGCGATCTCCCCTAGCTACACATTCTTTATCTCGAGGTGCATCCTCCTCCTTTTTTCTTTCGTTTTTCTGCAGCTCTTAATAGAAAGTGCTATCAAATTAAAGCCATGTATCATTTGGTTTGAATGTAGAATCTGTCCCGGCAGTCGGGTAGATGCTCAGTGTTCAGTTTCTCTTAGACTGTGACTTGAATCCATATCCAACACATTATCTAATTCTTCGCTATTCAGTCTCTAAGCTGGTTCAGTTTTACCAAAAAATGTGTAATGAGGTGGGCAGCAAAGCTTCTTTGCCAGTCAGCACATTTAGATAAAGCTTCTTTTGTCTATTCCGTAAAAGTTCAAAAAATATCCACTGGACTTGGTTTCCAAGATTTGAAGACGTTTCGCCACCTCTCTAGGAAGCTTTCTCAATTCAAATGTCTTCTTTTGTCTAATCTCATTTTAAGGACAGATCGATAACAGACATGATACTGTAGATTCCAGAGATTTTCCTTCAGTACTTTTTTTCCATTGAAAGGTTGATTTAAAAAATAAAGGAAAGTTGTTGATTGTACACATGCCTGTGATATTGTGTTCTTATTACATAATATTTACATAATATTTAGTCAGTTCAGTTCAAAGAAGATGCTCCAACCCTGAATCAGTCATATTAATTAGAAGAAGTAAGCATCACTTGTATATTAAATGTCTCATTTTATGGTTTTTATTAAGGCTTTTAAAGTCCCCCTCCACCGAATATGTATGATGAAATAACGCACTATAGATTATAAGTTTGTTATGAAATATCATTATTTTCATTTTTTTTTTTTTTGTCTTTTGCACTGGAGAAAAACACATGCTTTTATAGCAAAGCCGCTTATATGCGTGTCGTCCATTTCACTTGTGTGGCCCACAAAAACTGGGGTGGCCATATCACACCACTTCTGAACAAAGACCTCTTTAAGCCAAAAAAAAGATTTTACCAACTTTGGCTAAACATTGGCTAAACAAGGGAGGTTTCTGCACTCTGCAGATTACCTGCTAAAAGAGCAATTTTATAGGACAGGGAGAGGCTGATGCTCAGACAGGAGAACTCATAATGATTACTCAGAGACATATAAACCAAGTGAAATGCAACCTTTTGCATTATTTTGATGAAGGAATAGCATTATAACATAGTTAAAGTCCAAAACGTTAATTTTGCATAATTTAGGCCCTTTAACTAAACCAGAGCTGCAACAGTTCACAGAAACTATGGTTATTGTAGATATAATTTGTAGTTTTGAACTCATGATTTGGTTTGATTTTGGTATGAAAAAATGGATGGATCCCTCCCTCCCTCCATTTTTCCCTCCCTAACAAAATTTTAACATCAAGTATTAGCGTTTCATATTGATGGATTTTACCTCAGAATAAAAAAAAAGGAACAGGAACATTAGACAAAAAAAAAATCTATTCATTTTTATTTTATAGTAACATACTCAAACAGACTCTTCATAACAATTACCAAAACAAAACACTAAAATAGAAATTAATCCAAAAAAATATAATTTTTTTTTAAAGTTACACCAACTTCTTTTTCATTTCAATAATATGTATAATTAAGCAAATTGTGTGTGTCTCCAGTTGGCTGGTGGAAATATTGCTTCCTTGGGGTAAAAATAGCTTTATAACCCACATCTGGGGTCTTGATCTGATTTATGTTTGTGATGGTCTGAGCAGTCAAAGGAAGTTCAGGCACAGGTTTAGATCCAAAAAAGTCCTCTTTTTTTTGAACCCAAAACAAAGAACTTGGGTCAATAAAGGACAAATTACAAAGTTGGGCCCATAAAAGAGGTTGAAGTAACAGAATGTAACTCAGGCTAACAAAAAGACCTACTAAAACAAACAGACCTGCTACATGAGACAAAGGGGAAACTTAAATACTGGCTGATCAGGCCACATAGAAGATTCAAAGGGGGAAACACACAAAAACCTTACTGAAATTAACAGCAAAATCCCATTCCCCCCCTCTTGGTGATTAGTAGTGGTGTAAACCAATTTGCAGCGTCAATAGGCTGGCTCCACCCCTTCTCCACCTCTGTTTTCCTGAAGGACTGGAGCAGCCGGCACTGAGGTGACTCAAAAAAACAAACAAAGATTAAATCAAGCAGAACATAACAGTGTAAACTAAAATGTGCGCACTTATTCTAGAATACAGTGTTATGCCTTTCCTTACAAAAATGATTCTGTAAATTAAATCCTAAATGTAAAGAAATCCCAATATAAATTTAATGAGACTGGCTGACCTAGTGTGTGATGTGATTAAATGTGACCACATTCGGGTGGCTGTAGTTGCAGCCATCACAATGTTATATCCAGCCTTAAATGATTTTAATGGGTTTAAATCAGGTAACGTGCAGACTGGTCAAAATGGGGGATGTGTTGTTCAGGAAGAAGTGCTTTGTCATCTAGGTGTTGTTCACTCCACTGCTGTCCTGCTGAAATATCCAGTCATCACCACACAGATGAGGGCTTTCAGTCAAGATGAATGCCAGCTGCAAAATCTTACATTGCTAGACATTTTTTGACACCTGCATAACCCTAAAATTATGTTATCTGTTAAAGGAAAAAATCTCTCCCTAAATAATAGTGGAGCCTCCTTCGCTGTCCAGAGCAAACAATCATCTGTAATGGGATCTCAATCCCCTTAGAAAACAACAACAGTGCTTTCTGTACCATTGAAAAGTCCAAATGAGCACATTTGTGAAGTGAAAGGGAACTTGGTTGCATTCTTTAGGTCTGGTTGTAATGGTTAGTGATAGACTGTTATAATGTTAAAGGGTGTTGGGTTTATACTTTAGCTTGTTAAAAGCAGAAGCTTTTGATTATCTGACTTTTCTTCGTCCACCATCATTATAGTGAACCGAGCAACCAGAATTTAAAAAAAATAATGTAATGGCAATCTGGGATGTTTTGAGTTGATCTGTTTTCCCTCTATTGTTTTCTTTTCTCACTTTGATAATGTTTAAAAATCCAATGCAGGAATAATGGTTAATAACATTCTGCATTTAAGCCATTTTAAAATAGCACTGCAGTATTTCTGCACTTGAGTGTCACAAAATGAAAAGCTCATACCTACTGTACAACTCTTAGTATTAATACATGTGTTATTACATCCCAAACGCCTTTCCCTGCTATTTCTATAATAAAAACAATGATTTTTATTACCAAGATCACAGGACGTTAACATATAATAAATCTTTTTAGGCACAAAGGTTATTACAAGCATAAAGGACGAATGTTATTGTCTCGGCTTTATTATCATTCATAAGCCGCAATAAAATTCCTCTAATAATCACATGTACATAAATAGTTTTTTTAATAAACTCGTTCTTCATGTGCCTTTGGGATGAAGGAATTAAAGTAGTCTGAACCTGAAACAAGGGCTGTGCAGGGTTTGTGATCATAATTGGTTGTGAATAACTTAGATGTGGGGGCTGTCGTAATAATGTTCTTATCATCCCTTTCATGTTAAGCTTAATCCATTCAGTTAGGTTTCCTCTCTCCTGCTATTAATCAGTGTCGGATTGCAGGAGCGCTTATACCTTCCTCCTCCCACCTCAGGGAGCCTCGTCATTGATTACATTGACCGGCAGAAGTAGCAGGATAGTCAGGTGTCTGCTGCCCTTATATCAGGCCCCTTTTTAAATAAACATGTGTTCAGTTTTGGCAGAGGTTGGAGTTTATCAGGACTTGGAAGAAGTGGAGTGAGAGCTCAGCAAAGGGACCAATGTTCTCTGAACTGCTTCTTGTTTTTGTATTTAACCCGACTAACATCGTATAATAGCTCTGCATTGTCAGAGTATTTTCTCTGTCTGGATGTTTTGTTTGATACATGGGAGGGACATAAGATAAAATAACCTATAAACAAAGAAATATGGCCAGAATATGTATGGAAAACCTTTCTGTAACAGTGAGACTAAAGGTCATGCTAACAAAGGTCATGCGTTTTATGTTTTTATGTTTATATAATAATTATTTTGTTGTGTTTGTGTTTGTTTATCTGCTCGTAGTTATAGCTTTGTGCACCTGAAATCATTTTTTTAAACAGAAAAGCTCGACATTTTAATGAAATGAAGTTTATCATTGAGCCAAAAGCAGCAATGAACAGATATTAGACATGATAAAAGTCATGACCCAAAATGTACCTTGATTTTCATATGATGCACACACCTTACATCAAACTTATCAGATATATGATCTTCTGTGGGTTTATAGGAAACAGATATTGATCTTACAAATTTTGAACTGACCTTAAGCCTTCAAAGCAATTACAGTTTCTTATAAGGTGATATTGACCACTAAAAGGCCATGTGTGAATCATATGAAGGACCTTCCCAGTAATACTCCAAATGGCCTTTGCTTTCCTTTAAAGAAGGGAAGCCCATCTCCCGTCCCAGAGGGACAGTTTCCTGCCTTATGTAGATATTTCCCTGTCTCTACACTCCTGATTTGTATTGATGACTGGTTTCTTGAACTGCAGTAAATTGCACCAGGTGTGTTAAAACAGAGAAACATCCTAACCACGAAGGTCCAATGAGGACGGACCTTGGACGCTCAAATTTTAACATTAATTATGCTGAGGTTAATTCTACAATATGTATTTCTCATTACCAAAGGAAGAGTAATGGTAAAAAGAAAAACTAGGTTAGGCTGCTGTGACGCATTTTTAAATGTAAAGTTTCTAAACCGAAGGTTTTATCTCAGAAAGTTCCAAGTTAATCTGCATTTCTTGACATGCTCAAAGAAAGCTTTGAAAGAGGACTTAAAAATTGACAGCAGAAGAAAAATATCTTCTTTCTCTTTTTTCATTATTCCGTTCATTTTCTTTTAAACCACAGATGGGCCGAGGCCAACCCAGAAAGAAGTAATCTCTCTGCGGGCGTTCATGCTTCTCTTCCTCAAACAACTCATTCTGAAGGTATATCCCACCTGTCTTCATACATCAGATTCCCCACATGACTGCACTGAGAAAAATAGGGATTTTGTCTTTGTTATCCTTTGAAATGGTCTACTGTTCTGTTCCTCTGTTTTTACCAGTTATCCTGGAAATGGGACGCTCTTATATAAATCTTAGTCACATATTTAGCTATTGATTATTAATAAGATACATTAGCTTTTTGCTGTGCGTATATTTCTTTGGTATTTTTTTTGCATTGATCTTCTTTATGCTTCATTTACTGAAACAGAAAGTCACAAATAAATGCATGTCAATTAAGAATGGGACTTAACCAGTAAAATAATCCCAGCGCAATATTCTTAACACAATCAGTGATCACCCAACAGCATTTCCAACCTGGATGTGTAAATTGATTTATTTCTGTGACTCGTGCGCATCTACAAAAGATAAGATATCCATTGAAAGACAGTTAAATATGCCTTATTAATGTCAGTGGGCACATTGGCTTAAGACAGACAGAATAGTGCTCAGATTAAAATTTGTTACAACCAGGTTTGCTGAACACTATCTCAGAACTTCCAATACGTCGAGACATTGAAGCTCAGCAAAGAACAGGAAGCTGAGGGTAAAAATCAAATGGGGCTCATCAAAATATACTTTTTTATGCTAATTTCCCATTTCTGCTGCATTGATATTCAGAATTCGATGTTAATACATGGATTCACCCTGCCTTGTATCAGTGGTGATGTTGGTGTAATTGTGTGGGTTTTTTTTCATAGCAGACCTAATGCTCCTGAGTACAGTTTAATTTGCCACAGCCTGCTTAACAATTGCTAATGGCCATTTCTATAGTTTGCATATCTTTTCATGGCAACCTCAACAGTGTTAGGCGTCGTGTTACACATCTCAAAGGGTTTCAAACTATTCTCATAAACATGAAAATAATTACACTCTTCTCCATTGGCGACCACAATTTTAATGCAATAGAGCAGCTTTGTGATATGGGGGAACAGGGGATTCCCATTGTTGATGTGTTGCTGAGAAATCCACAGCAAACACGGGACGCTAAAATGTAAATATGGTCCAAACTCTCAGATGTGTCTTTTTGACACAAAGTTGAATCAACAGCACTGTCCTCAAAGTCAAAGCAAGCTAAAAAAAAAAAAAAAAACTAGGAAAGTGAGCAGTGAGGACATATTTTTTTTAAATGTCAGTGTCTATACATGAACATGCAGAAAATGACAATCCATTTCATAATAACTCAATAAATTTACTGTTGTCTATTCCAAACCGGACTTCTGTGGTCCAGGTGTAATATTAAACCCTAGCACAGGTTAACTTGGTTTAGAAAGCAGGTTTGTTCTCACAAAGCATCACCTGTCACTAACTAACTTTATCCTTTTTCTAAAGCTATGTTTGCTACTGTTTTCCATAGACTCAATTTTGTAACTTTACACCAAGAACAGAGCTTAAGTGGTATGTTAATTTTAGTAGGTTTACATATTTTTGTTTAAACATGAGTTAATGTGGTTCAAGTTAATTGTATGTTTTAAAAGAATGTGAGTAAAAAGTTTAAAAGCTGGTTTCAGAAAAAAAAAAGGGCTTTGAGTCACAAGATCTAGTGAGTAGTGTTATATGCCTTTGTTAAACAAGAGCTGAGTCTGTGTACCTGAATGCAGCTCAAAAAATGTAATGTCTCTGCCCCCCATTTATGTCTCTTACTATGCATGGCGTAGTGCCAGCTGGAAAAAGCTGAGATGCTAAATGGAAAACCCAGATCAGGGCAACAGATTTACAAGCACAGAGTGTAAAATAGATTTTTATAAGACAATTAAAAAACACCAGTCCGTGATTGTTTTAAACTGGCCCTTCAAACCCCAAGTAAGTGTTTGGTTCAGTTTTGGGCTGAGAAATCTCTGACTTTGTACCAACAACAGATATTGGGTGTGAAGTTTCTCAGTGACGTCTGATACATTGAAAAGGCTTAAAGAATGCAATCAGTACCTGGGATAGGTTAAAAACACTCCTATAGGTGACTGTTTGTTTAGACAAATCTAGAACAGTTTGGGGCTTTAAGTTCTTGCAAACATTATAGTACTGTTTGAAATGCTATTTCACTCTAATTTGTTTTAAGTATTTTATTCCAAATGTTTAACTCGAGAAAAAAAGATCAGCTCTCAGCCCAGTCAAAGATTACTACATTGAGATTTTACAACTTAGAAAAGCTTTTAATTTTCTTTGTTGACATGCTGCTATTTACAGAATCAATACCTAGGAGACTTTTGTTAGACTATTATTGTATATCTTTTAGACTATCCTCCTTGTGCATGATGCAATCTATTGTATTACGGTACTTTTTGCTTTTTTTTTAGGATCGAGGTGTGAAGGAGGATGAACTACAGAGCATCCTCAACTATTTGCTAACAATGCAGGAGGTACATGTCTCTTTCTATAGCTTGCCACCATCAGTGTGTGAGTGTGTGCGTGAATGAATGTAGTGTAAAGCGCTTTGGTCAAGTCTACTGACTTGATAAAGGCGCTATATAAGTACATGCCATTTACCATTTACCATTTCTATCTTCAAGGGGATTCACTTTGTGTTTTATGCCACTCTCCTGCCCTTGGCCTTATTTTTTACACAGAATTTTTCTTCCATCAGCAGTTTGTTTTAACTAGCAACTGGATTTTGTGTGCAATGCACATTCTCAGCCATTCTCTGTTTGCAATAGCTAAGCTACGGATTCTGCAACCTTTAGTGATAAAACTGCAATTCCCATATTTTCTGGACCTCTACAGATTAGGGGATTTTTATATTTGCCAGTACTTCTATTGATAAGGGGATTAAGGAACTGTTTGCCTACCTAGAACATGAACAGTGACATATACCTCTACACCTAAAGGTAGGTAGAGATCTTCCCTGAGTGTCAGATTGCATTCTTTATGGTGAAGTGCAGGCCACCAAAAAGCAAGATTGTTGGGGAAGTTTAGTGCATTTCCTGACTCTTAACAAATGGGAAAATATCTTCTAGCAAGGCTTAAAGCAGCTGAAGAAACTGCTGAACTCTATGTGCATTATTTACTTTTCATTTTCCTTCTTTTGTCTCTTACTGTGCTTCTATAATTTCTTGCCTACAGGACGAGAACCTGCATGATGTGTTGCAGTTGGTAGTAGCCCTCATGTCTGAGCACCCAGCTTCCATGATCCCTGCTTTTGACCAGAGGAATGGAATAAGGTAAGCCCCTCAAAAGGATGCAAGATGCATTACTTAGGCACACATAGGGATTTGATTAAATACATCTAAGCACTGTTTACCATTACTTTGAATTTGTATAATAAATGAGCACAAAAACAGTCAGTATGTTGGATAAAACCGAATAGAAGCTTGATACATTAACTCATTGTTTTCACAATAATGGATGATCAAATTTGCCTCATGTTAGCTGAGTTGTAGAACATACATTAAGACCGTGCCTGTTTATTCAAAATAAAAGATTACTGATGCATTTATTTGGACCTCCATATAATACTATGCAGATTTGCTCTAAAAGAAAGAGGCTGTCAGCCAGCCAGTGAAGTGCCTCTTCATCAAGAGGGCTACAGTTAAATCTCTCTAGACCATGCTTAGAGGCTAATTTGCATCATGTGTTTATTCCAGGGTAGTCTACAAGCTCTTGGCATCAAAGAGTGAAAACATTCGTGTACAATCCCTCAAAGTACTTGGATACTTTCTGAAGCACTTGGGACACAAGTGAGTAACCACAATCAGCTATGAATCAGACTGTTTATTAGACACTTAACTTTTGTTGTAATCAATCTTTTTTAATTGATTGGTTAATGAATTGATGGTGTTTGTTGCCTTTACTGTATCTATCCCCTTGGCTGGTAAATTCCTGCTTCTTCTGTATGTCCTGCCATTGAGGAGTACCAGGCTAAAAAATGTCCCTGCAACTATTGCTTTCCTCAACATCCTTAACAATTAATTGAATGTTTTTGTGTGTTTGTTTGTTGTGTTTTATGGAAAGTCTCATCTTGTTATTTATTGTTGCAGCTTAATGTATGCTCTATAGATTTAAAAAGAGTTAACATTAATTTAGGAAAATAGTCTTTTTGTTTCCTGTAATTAATGACTTAATCCATCTGTCCACTGTTGCTGCATGTTTGCTAAGAAAGGACTTTGCTCTGGAGATCATCAATGTGCCTTACAAGTTGCAATGTATATAATTAATTACAGGTCTATATATAAAAATATTAGACTGTTTTAATTATGTATTTCTGAATATAAATTGTAATTGTTGGTGTCATATATAGCCTGCAGATAAGACTAAATTAAGCTTGTTTATGTAAATAAACTGAACCGAAGTCTTTATATTGAGCTTTTTTATAATTTCCTAGTGCAATTGGAGGAGGCCCAAAAGACTGTTCCAAAAATGTAACACTAGAAAGTCAGCAGATCAGGTCATGAAGGATAAGAACTGCTGTTTTAAATGAAGGTTTCAGAGTAAAAATAGAGGATAAGTGGTGATGCCGTGCTCTAAGCAGTGGCCAGGGAGGGCTGATGCTAAATGGAAAACAAGGTGAGGCGTAAGGCTTTGTTACACTTCTGCAGGCAGAAATAAAAGCCTTGTTAATCTCCTCATAGTGTTTTATTTTCAAGTTATTTTAGAAGACAATTTTTTCATTGATATTGTTTGTCATACTGATCTAGTTGAAGTGATCAGTGTTTGTTCTTGCTTTGGTAAAAAAAAAACGAAAGAAAAACAAAAACAAACTGTTTCTTCATACAAATGGTGAGTTTTTCGAGAACCATATAAGGTACCAAAGCAAAATGTTTAGTAGAGAGATATTTGTTAATTTTTTCTTGGGGTGTTTATTTTATTTTCCTTCCTTTCCTTCCTTGTATTATTATTAATAAAAATATGAAAAAAGCTAAAATAATAGAAATAAATATGTGATATTTTTAAACAGAGTCTATGTTTTCTTAAAAAATTATTAATATAGTGTTCTTTTATTTCAGCGCAGCTTCATTTGAGCCTTAAATGTCGGCTTAAAATATGTTCAGTCAGAAATTACATGTTATTTTCTATATCGTCTTGTGAATAAAAAGCTTCACTTTGTTTTCTCTACATTCTTTTAACAGACATGTACTGTACAGCACATCAGTAAGCTACGCATCATAAGTGTGCGCTCCTCTTTAAAATTTCCATATTTATGCAGCTGAAAGAGTAGCTACTCTTTTCCTAAGTGCCCAATTTCCAAGCTTTACAAAGTGGGGGAAAAAAAGTCGAACAAAGAAGCTTTGGCTGACAGCCTTTGTTATTCAGTTTGTCATAGTTGAACCTATTCACCTGTAGTATACCTCAATATCTTGAGCCACTCCTGGTGACAGGCTAACTTCTTTGTCCTATACACCTACGACAAAATTCACCCAATTTATGACAGCTGGCGGTTTTCCTGACACTTGTCTCTAGAGTCTGACTCCCTGTGGATGAGCTTAGGGAGGCAAGCTGATGGCACTCAGTGATTTGAGTGGCGTAGGAAGTTCCAAACACACTGCTTCACCGTTCTGTCTGTACGTGTGTGTGTGTTTCAACAGGAGGAAGGTGGAAATCATGCACACACACAGCCTTTTTTCTCTGCTGGGCGAGAGGCTCATGTTGCACACCAACACTGTGTCTGTTACAACATACAACACCCTTTATGAGGTAACAATACATTTTCTTTTCTCCATAAATGTTAGGTCATTATAATCTGAGTGAATGTGATGAAAGTATTCTCAATACTCCTCATTTCAGATTTTGACAGAGCAGGTTTGCACGCAGGTAGTTCACAAACCTCATCCTGAGCCTGATTCCACTGTCAAGATTCAGAATCCAAGTAAGCTCTTTGGGATTTGGAGGGGTATCCAACAGTTATTGATACCGAGAACTGACAACGGATTTTTATATGCCTGTCTTCTCAGTGATTCTCAAGGTTGTCGCAAATTTACTGAAAAGCTCCGCCCCTGGCGCAGAACTAATGGAGGTTCGGCGACTCTTCCTTTCAGATATGATAAAACTCTTCAGCAGCAGTCGAGACAACAGGCGGTGAGCAAACTTTGATCACATTTATCTCACTCGCTTTATTAGCTATCCGTCTGATCAGTGAAAGAAAAGAGAAAAGGCAGAGGATCAATGAAATCTAGATATAGACTATAAGAAGAAGGTAGCCTTAGTCATGACATAAAAGAAGTTAAAATCTGACAAAACATACTTATATTTAGGTACCTGTTTTTCAATTAAATATTTTGACAAAAACTGCAATGCAAAGTGTGCCATATTAATGCATTTGATCACAAAACCATATGTGACTGCTGTCTACTGGCAAAACACAGTTGTGCCAACTGTTGTCTAATCTTTGTTGATATCGTATTCACCTCACATGAAGCACAATAATTCATGGCTTGGATTTTACAGGTGTCTTTTGCAGTGCTCCGTATGGCAAGACTGGATGTTTTCTCTCAGCTACATCAACCCCAAAAACTCAGAAGAGCAGAAAATCACTGAAATGGTGTACAACATATTCCGTATCCTGCTTTACCATGCCATCAAGTACGAATGGGGAGGATGGCGTGTGTGGGTGGACACTCTCTCTATAGCCCACTCTAAGGTAAGTATAGCCCAAAGGAGGATAAACGCTGACTTTTACCCAATGTGTAAAGTAAAGGAATACATGTTCAGGGGATTTTATTTAAATTTCTTTATAGGTGACATATGAGGCACACAAAGAATATTTGGCAAAGATGTATGAAGAGTACCAGCGTCAGGAGGAAGAGAATATCAAGAAAGGGAAGAAGGGTTTGGTCAGCACTATCTGTGGTCTGTCTGCTCAGGCCTCGAGCATCAAAAGTGTGATTGAGATTGGAGAAATAGATGATAATTCACAGACCCCCGAAAGTGAGGGAGACTACGAGAGTTCTGACTCCCACAACTTGCTGACCGGGACAAAAGGGGCTGAGGACAACTTCCAGGGAGCTGGGGATGCATTAGACGGGGTCAGAGTTGAAGTTCACGACCTTCTGGTGGACATCAAAGCTGAAAAGGTGGAAGCTACAGAAGTAAAGATGGATGATATTGAGTTGTCTACTGAAACGCTGGCAATGTCTGAGAATGGGTCTCTGGCTGAAGTAGACTCTCTGTTGGACAATGTTTACTGTGCTGCTGTGAAGAAGCTTGACAACAATGTCAGCAGTATGCTGTTGCCAAAGGGGAACATGGATAATCAAAATGCTGCACCTCTCATTACATTGGATGACGAGAAGGACAACATTCCGCACAGTCAAAATTTTCTGTTTGGCAAGGTGACAAGCGGGTTAGCAGACAATCTCTTACCTGATTTGACTCCAGCTGAGCCTCAAGTCCTACCCAGTTCAGAACTTCCATCTCGCACCGTTTCTAGAGATGAAGTTAGCCTTCTGGCTCACATGAAAGGTAGCTCCTTACCCAGCATCATGGAGAAGCATGAGGTTGATCTTAAAACAGTACTTGAAAGCAAGAACTCAGAAACTGAGACCTCTTCCAAAACCCAACTGACCTCTAATGGGACAGCAGCACTTGAAGGGGAAGCCTTGGCTGCTGGTAACACCAATGGTGCGCTAGAGTCAAGACGCAACACTTCTGAGGCTCCAAGGTTGGATGATGGGAAAGACAAGGAGATGAAAAAGATTCAGACAACAGCCACAACACAGGTTGGTCTAATCATAGATCTGTTTCATATAAAGTTTTTTGTTTTATATCTAATCCTACAGATTTTTCAAAATGTAAGGAGTTCAAAAATACAAATCATATCAATTAGATCAATGTTTTGGGGTAAATTATGTTATTTTATGGCTAATAATGTACTAGTGGTTGTAAAAAAAAAAAAAAAAAAAAAAAAAAATTCAACAGTCTTGAAACTGATTCCCTGTAATTCAGTGTGTTCATTGAATTGTTCATCGAAAAAACAAAACTGTGTGGAGTTTGATCAATAAGAGTTTATTCATGCTTAGAAGAAAACAAAACAACAGAGTCGGAGTTAGTCCTTATTCAACAGCCAAATGCAGCAAATATCATACCTTAAAACAGGTCTTTCCAGGTTTTGTGAAAAAGATTGTTGCATTTTGGGTTTTTATGATGATAAAAGGGGAACAACACACACTCACATGTGCATAAAATAGTTGGAGGTTTAGCTAAAATGAGCCAAAATGCTTTAACATGGAAATAAAAAAAGCAAACACATTTAAGTAAATTGAACAAAAAACAATCAAACTACAATTTGAATGGATGGATGAAAAGCCTAAATTGTGTAGATTCAGACAATAATACGGGGAATCAGAGGGTGTGCAGTAATCTGTGAGCTTTGTAACAATGAGAGAACCCCTACATTAAAGCCCCATTCACTTTCTGAATGAGCAGAAAACTGCATTGGTTTCACCAGGAGCGCAGAAAACAAAGCAACATGATTCTGTTCTAGTAGTTCTGGTTTGGGAGATCCTGTGGCTTGTTCTTCACACATATTTTAATTGTTTTCTTAATTAGCAGTGTTAGTTTATGGTCTTTATTGTAAGTTTGTTTGCTTATAACATTTATAAATGCTCAAATCAGCGGAATTGTTGAAGAACTTCTCCAGTTTAGCTCTTATGAAGTTTTCTGGCCAGAAACAACTTTGCTATTTGCTTCTGCCACCTGGAGTAAAATAACAAATTTATCTGCTATCAAGGAGATTGTGCAGCCTTTGTATCCAGGTATTGGCACAAAGCCCCTGCAAGCTCCTACTGTTGAAAAAAAAACATGCTTAAAAGGTTGCACTGTAAGAGAAAGCATTGACAGGACAAAGGACAAATTGTACAACATTTGATAGACTGCAAGATTGCTTTTCTGGCTCTAGGTACATACAGTAGTGCTTGAGACAACTCCAAAACACAGAACCTAACTCAGTTTATATTGAAGGGTGTTGCCTCAGGCATCATGTGGTGCTGTCCACTTAATCCTGTACAAAGGATCAAAGATTAGTTGTTTTATATTTTATAATATTTAAAGAGTTTGTGTTACATCATTTGAAACAGTACATATGTTAGATATTGTTGTATTAATTAGTCAAAAACTTCAAACAAACCAGTAACTGGACTGCATGACATGACCTACAAGTCTAGGTCTATGGAGTGTCCTTATACAGCCCAACTTCTTAATCCAGAAGAAACCCCGTTGGGTAACTTGATAAATATCTGCCAAAAAAACAATAATGTGGAAGGTGGTCTAATTGTCATGGGCTGGAATACCTTTCCACAACTCAAAGATTCACAGTTCATCTTCTTGTTTAGAAAGTCAATGTTTTTTTGGTTTTTTTTTTAAAGAAAATGCAGACATTTCTTGTTTTATCAGCCAATATTCGGTTTTTCCTATTTTTCTGTAAATTTGCAGACAAATTATCAGATGAGACTGCTCATTTCTTAAACGCACGAACGTGAAAAGAAAACAAAACGACCGCTCCTGAGTCTAATTGGAAATTAAACAGGAAGACTGAGGTTGTTACACCGTTTGGCTCTCAGTGGATTGTTCTGTATTAACAGTCACAGAGATCATTTTCTCCCTGTATGGTGGATGTAATGGGGACAGGAAGGCCTAGTGCAACCAGGCGTCATCCCTTCGAGACTTAGGAAACTGGGTTGCTGAGATAGTTAACTGAACCAATATGAAGGAGGGGGAAGCAAAGTGTTATTCTGCAATAGTCACTTGGGACTTGTGCATTTCTTCCCCCCTCTGTACTCACTTTTAGAGGTTAGGTGCTTTTTTCATAGATTGGGTCACTGACAGTGGGTCAGCTAGATGAAGCTTTCACTTTTAAGTGTTTTTTTCCCCTCCAATTTCATAATAGCTCATGTTGAATTCATTGCTGATATTCTTAAAGGCTTTATGCTGCACTTTGCTGACTCATCATTATAATATTAGAGCCCTATTGAGCATTCATTATACTTCTTTGCACCAGCGAAAGATGTTATGTAACTACATACTTTAAACCATCAGCTTTTTCATATTGAATTAGACATTTGTTTTTTATCTTTTGGTTCATGATCACATCAGTTGGATTGCCGTCCATCTTCTTCATTCTAAATAACATGCATTGACTTTATAAGCACAGTAGGCTTTATTTATTTTAGTAATACATTGCCTGTCATCAGAGTGTGCAGGGACGCCAAGTCTCTGAGATGGAAAAGGACGTACGGGTGGACCTTGGCTTTAGGGCCATTCCCATTATGGAGGAGCAGCGACATCAGTTCAGCCCCGGTCCTCGCACTACAATGTTCCGCATTCCGGAGTTCAAATGGTCACCCATGCACCAGAGACTGCTCACTGACCTGTTATTTGCTCTGGAGAGTGACGTCCATGCCTGGAGAAGGTGTGTTAAGTGTATCATGTGAACTAGAGGGATGGATGAGTTTGAACATGATCCAAGGGGTAATCCCATAATTATTTTGAAGGGGAGGGTCTGCATAATGATGAATGCCAGCATAAAAAAAAAGGTTGGAATGAATAGATTTAATGTAAAACAGACGTTCATGTAATAACCTTGTTTCCACATATTCTTTTACAGCAATTGCACCAAATCTGTCATGGACTTTGTTAACAGTAATGAAAACATCATTTTTGTCCACAACACCATCCATCTCATCTCCCAAATGGTAGACAACATAATCATCGCCTGTGGAGGGATTTTGCCCCTTCTTTCAGCGGCCACCTCTCCTTCTGTAAGTGCATCTGCCTGGATCTTGTGAAAGGAAATATTGCCATCTAGTGGTCAATAAGTTCAACTGCTTCACACAACTGAATTTATAGCCATAGGATGTAAATGCTTGTGAGAAATTGTACCTTTAAATAGTTGAATCTTAATAAATAAGAAAATCATTGAAAAATTATTTTATTTAAGTGATTTGATTACGGAGTGTAATTTGATTTTTTTTATTCTACTTTCTGTCATCATACTTTAAAAAGTAACAATGGATTATTATTATTATTATATTTTACAAAAAATGTTTCCTGTTGTTTGAACTGTTGTACTGCTGTGATCTGGCATGGAGGGAATCAGCCTGTGTTTCTGCCGAGGTATTAGGGAAGACTAGTCTAGGCTCCTCTAATAGTGGCCTGTAGCTTGGCTGTTGTGTTTTCCTTGCCCTCTTTACAGTATCCCTTAGATTTTCTATGTGGTTTAGATTAGGCAAGTTTCCATCAACCACAGTGAAGCACAGCTAAACCCAGCAAGAAATTAAAATCTACATTCCATTAAGTTTACCAGCTTGTATATCCCCCCTAACAAGACTCATGAATTGTTTCTGGTTCACCAGTGACTTTCCCCAAGGAATGTGATGGTTTTTCCACGTGTTCAGGTTATCTCTTTGTGGTGGCTGTTATTGAGCTGACTCTAGTCCATTTATTAGTTGTATACTCATCAACCAGACTTTTAATTTTATTATTGTTTTTATAAATGTGTGTAAAATAAGCACTTTTTGAAGAGAGAGCTTTATACAAATAATCAATTATAGCCTATACTCCCTGTGGAGCATTTTAGTGACTATCTGTTAGTTCATCAAGTTGATCAAGTAAGCTTCTCTATGGGGTTCCCCATAAGACAAACTTTTTTTTTTTTGCCATTTTGATTTCTAGTTAATAATAAATCTATGCAGGATATTTGTTTCATTTTTTATTTAATAAATTAACTTTTAATGAAATTGTGATCTATTAAGATTCACCGGTAGGTACACAGATAGTTATTCCATTCCTTTGATCATCCCAATTTTGAGCCGGTTTTAAACACATTTATTTTGTATAATGATATTTGTCCTTAAAGAACTTTGTCATTTTTGTTTTCCTTGTTTCTCTCTCATACGTTTGTATAAGTTCAAAGGAAAAGAAAAGATTTTAAGCGCCTTTCTTATCTTTTTTTTTGCTCATAACTAGACTGTCAAGGTCACTACTTATACTTTTTAACATCTTTTCTTTTAATTTTGCACACTGTTGTTCTAGATAAGCCTCTTACTTCCCCTCCAACTTATTTTATTTTAATATTGTGTCTGCTTTCTCAAATAGTTTTCATAACCACAACAATACCTACACAGTTCTTAATTTGCAATAACATGTCACTCTGATGTGTTCATTCCCAAATATCTGTCCCTTGCATGATTTTGGTAATGAATATCGGTTCAACTGAAAACTTGTCACATACATATTTAGCATTCGTAATTCTCTTTTTTATTTCTTCAAGGCTGAGTTGGAGAATATTGAGGCATCGCAGGGCATGTCCTCAGAGACAGCCATCACTTTCTTGTCCCGTCTCATGGTGATGGTGGATGTTTTGGTGTTTTCAAGCTCCTTAAACTTCAGTGAGATTGAGGCTGAGAAGAATATGTCCTCTGGTGGTTTGATGCGCCAGTGCCTCCGACTGGGTAGGATTTGTTTGCCTGAGACCGTTTCCTGCTGACTGAATGTCAGCTAATGCAAAGGGGTGATGGAGAATTACAATATCATTCATTCATGCATGTACAACAGAAATTGAATTGAGTTGAAAGGTACTATAATAGTGTTCGCTTCACATAATAATAATTCCTCTAATCCCTTTAAATCCCCTGTTTGATCAGCAGAGCTAATTAATTTGGGGATCCTTTGGTATTTGTGTTCTATATTTTCAAATGCACATGGTTCCTTTGCTGTTTTTAGTTTTAAATTTAAAAAGAGGAGAGAGACTGGTTTCCAGTACTAGTGTTATTTTTGCAAATGGTGAATTATCCTTAAACAAAAACATAATTGCTGCATTCAGAATTCAATCATTTCAGTCGGCCTTTTTTGGTGGACATTTGTTTGTACACAGTCTCATCTTCATTCTTGTCTGTTTGTGCCTGTGGGTTTATGTGTATGTTTGCATTTGCTTGATTGTTAACTCTGACATGTGGTGTACAGGATGGCAAATCGCCTTCAGACTTCAATGTCCTTTTTCCCAACAAACAGTTTCTCATCACCGCTTTAGTGTGAAATCAGTCTGGCTGCTGATTTCACTCCTGCCCATCTCTCCTGTCAGCTTGGATCAAATACCCATCATAGATAACTCATTAGGTTTAAAGAGGTCATGCATGTTATCAAAATTACATTTTTTCAGTTGATTCTGAAATAAGACCCTATTTGTGTTCTTGGTGTTGTCCACAGTGTGTTGTATGGCTGTAAGGAACTGTCTAGAGTTTAGACAGAGACATAACAGGACGCAGGAAATCCTTCAAAATACTGTGACCTGCAAGGTATGATATAATGAAAAATTTAACTTTTAACAACTTCAATATTATATCTCAACCCCTTGTTAAATGTGTCTTTCTTTAACGTATTAAGATTGACATTAGTTTCTGTTTCTTCTACCTTCATGTTTATTGTGTACTGAAAGCTTTTAAAAGTAAGAAATTTCAAAAAGGGCTTTGCATACTTCCTGTTTTTAGATATCAGGGGAAGCTGGCCCTGCTAACCTTTCTCCAATCAAAGAGCCTGACCGCCTTCTACAGGATGTGGATATCAATCGACTGCGAGCTGTTGTGTTTCGTGATGTGGTGAGCCTTATCAGTTTATCCCACTGATGTTAAAAACCAATCCTCAGGAGCCAATTCCTTGCATGTTTTAGTTCAGCAGACCTAAATCAAATAAAGAGGTCATTAGCAGGCAGCTGGAGAACTCAAATTGCCTGTGCTGAAGCAGAAAAAAAATTATCTGAAGCATGCAGGATGGTGACTTTTGAGGAGTGGAGTTGGGCAGCCTTTGTCCCTTTGCAGAAAACATGCAAGTGTCACAATGACTGATAGTGAAGAAAAACATTAGGCTTTGAAAGTCATTACTGGTTTTATTTTTTTTTCTCTACACTTGACTTTAATTTAATGACGTTTTAGCATTTTCAACTTTCTATATGGGAAAATAAAAGGTCCATTTGGGCAAGTGTCCCACGACTTTCAGATGTTTCTCTGGCCCTACAAACCTGAATCAAATCGTTGTATAATCGTACTACATATAAAATGGTTCATGTAAAGTAAAGAAATGCCTTTTTTGTTCTCATATTTTGAAGCAGCAATGGGTCTTGCAAGTAACTGATCCTTAAGGACTTGAGTTTGATACCTCGATATAGTATAGTGTATGACAACTATGTTCAAAGCAGGTAGTTCCTAGGAATTTTTGCCATAAATTCGTTTTCATTAACAGAATAAAGACCAGAATATATACAGACAACATTTTGTGCTGGTCAAAAGGAGAAACCAGAAAAAAAAAAAAACTTTAAAGCACTGCTGAAATAGCACATTTAAAAACAACATAAATGTATGTACTGTTCATGAACGGCAGAGAAAATACTATTTTGATCGACTTTGATTAATTGTTTGAAATTCTGTGATTACTACACAGAAGTACTAAATAAATATGTTAATGTTTAGTCCAGTTCTCTGTGTTAAATATCTAGGTGTTTTTATGTGAATGTGGGTCTTTTAGATACATTTTCGTGATTTTCATCATGTTTCACATTTTATTGTCACATACTGGCGCTGGTCTTGGTCTTGACTCAGTCGCGACTTCCCTCGGTCTTGGTCTTGACTTGGTCTCGGACCCTAAAAGTCTTGGTCTTGTCTCGGTCTCGATACACTCTGGTCTTGGTCTTGTCTTGGTCTCGGGCCCTAAAAGTCTTGGTCTTGTCTCGGTCTCGATACACTCTGGTCTTGGTCTTGTCTTGGTCTCGGGTTAGGTGGTCTTGACCACAACACTGACTTTATGAGTTATGGAACTTTAATTTTCTGTGTAATTTATTATTTTTTTTAGAGAACTCAACCTTCTGAATCTAAAGCTTTCATAATAGCTGTGACTTCTTCCCACAGGATGACAGCAAACAAGCCCAGTTCTTGGCATTGGCTGTAGTGTACTTCATCTCTGTCCTCATGGTTTCCAAATACCGGGACATCCTTGAGCCTGAATGTGAGCCTGGCAAGATGAGCTGCCAGTTAGGTCGTGGTGTACGTCAGGAGATCAATTCTCCCACCAGCAAAGGTACTAAGCCCTTTCTTTTGTTACATCCATTCTTCTGCTCTTCTGATCGTAGTCTGAAGTGACTGAGCTTGATGAACAAAAATGCTAAGTGTTCTCAGTCTTTCCTCTTGTTCTGTTGCCAGCTTGCTGGAGCCGAGTGCTCGTTCTCTATAACAACAGGGATACCCTGCCTGTATTCTACCAGCTCAATATGATTAATTCATGAGTTCTGCTAATTGCACTGCACAAAATTCAACATTGAAGATAACAGACTTGTACTGAAGTTAGGAACTTAAATAGGCATCAACATCCACTCTGAAATAAAAGGTGGAAAGTGCCTGGAGTCATAAATCATACATCAAGTCACATGAAAGAAAATCATTGGCTGCCCTCAACGGTTTAACACAATGTCTGCAGTAGTTGCAATTGGTTTTGCGAAATGTATGAGTGAACATACTTTATCAATTTTCATTCAGATAAAAGGTGAAGTGAATAAAAGAAAATAGAAGTAGAGGAGAGAGGCCAGAGGGAATATGTAAGTGTAATTTAAAGAGCTGAGACCACGCAAAGAAGATGAGCAGTGAGAACTTAAGAGATGAGAAAGCTGTGGGTTTTTGGGGCAGTGGAGCCAGCCTTGCTATTTTCAGCCCCATCTGTCAGTGCACATTAGGCAAGCAATCCACCAGAGGAGAATGGGATCATAGAGGTTGCTGGGAGGAGAAAGGCACACTGCCGCCTTCATAAATTTCACCAGAAAATAGGGGAATTTTCCAGACGGCATGTGGCAGACGATTGTCTGATGGACCAGGAAGCCAGTCAACTTGCCGGCTAAATCAGACCCAGCTGACCGCGTTAGGGGCATGTGATGAATATTAATATAGCCCCTGCATTTTGGTTACCGCTGGGTCAAGATAAACTACAGTCAAACTAAACTAGCTTCTGCAACTCTGAAAAAGTATCTGAAAAACTACTTAGATAGTTTTAGCTTTACATCATGCTGTTTTATATGGTGTAAAAATAGGGTCAAATGTTGCTCATTAGTTTCATCATTATGGATAAATAAGAGCATACTCCTACAATTTAGCTTGGTGTATCACAGCTTTCATGGCAAAAAAGATTAAATATTCATAATAAATATGTAACAACATGTGAAGTTTTTTTCCCTTATTATTTATTACATGCCACTCCCTAATATGTGCCTCTCTTTCACAGAAACTCCTTTATCATTTCCAAGCAATAAGGACATGTTTTTGCCATCTGACGACCTCTGCATAGAAAGCCCCTTAACTCATACAGACTCTGGGATAAAAGATGAGCAGGTAGCCAGCATCCTTAATGGGTCTGACCTGGATCACAAAATGGGAGGAGCTAGGGCTATAAATGAGCTCATATCCACACTTTCCTCTGAGGTAAAGAAGTCCCAGGAGATCCTGTCTGAATCCTCTAGTGTCGAAATGATCAAATCGCCCTCCTCCGTCATCAGCATTAGTCAGTCCAAGAAGGGCATTAATGTCAAGGAGATTTTGAAGAGCTTGGTTGCTGCCCCGTTGGAGGGCGTGGAGGCTGGGCTGGAGCCAGCGTCCTTCCCAGACTCTGCTGCCAAGACCCAGGCTGTGCTGCCGGTGCAGTTTCAGTCCTTCGACAGGTGAGATAATTAGTTGTAACACATAACTCTCTAATAATGACCTCGATTAATTATTATTGTAGTTGTATCTTAAAGTTTTGACATAAGGTGAGAGGCTTGCAAGGATTGCACTGATTTATTTATTTTCATATATATCCAATACTTATTTGAGTCCTTTTAGAACAGGTATTAAAACCAAACTATTTCTATGTAAAAAAAAAACAAAAAAAAAACACACACAGTCATCCAGATTAGTATTGTGATCATATATTCATAACTACTTTAATACTATACTAATAAAATAATTGTTTTTATTTTATTGAGATGTCCCTGAATCAAGAATTGTGTTCCCAATGCATCTCTGGATCATTTCATGCATCATGTTCAAGATGTATCCCTGCTTTAACACGTCTGTATCAAACAGCCACCTTACTTCTTCGCACATCATCAAGTTCTGTAGAGGCCTGGTGATAAGCTGTTTCTCTGAGCAAGTGCAGAGGGAAGAAAGTTAAAACATCCAGGTTAAACTGATTGATTAATTACTGGTTGAAAGTATAAGTATAATCTTTTACATTTTAACCTTACATTATAACCTCAATAAAAAAAAGATTTGTGGTCATAGAAAGACCTGCTTGCATGTGGTCTCTCAAATGAACATAGAATGGTTATCTTAATCCATCAGGATTATCTCTGTTATGTGGAAAAAAAATAATCATTAGGTGACTGGAACACATCATTTATACCAGTCCATGTATCTTGTGCTCTTTTTAACAGCAAGATTTTTTGTGTGTGTGTATTTGAAATAGTCTCAGAAGAGCGTTCTACTGTTTTAGTTTATTTACATTCCTGGATTACATTGAACCTCACAGTAATCTGTCTGGATCTGACTGTTTACAAACCTGCTGCTGCCGGGATTTTAAGCTTAAGCTCCCCCGTGATCCCCCTGTTCTTTCAGGCTGATATTTTATAGCTACTTTTGCAGTAGAACAATATTTTAATGCTTATTTTTCATTATGATGAATTCAGTAAGGTCATACCATTAAAGACTGAACAAATGACACTCTGAAACAAGAGCAACAATGGAGCCTTTTCTCTCCCTAATGTGTTCTTATTGCTGAGGGGATGAATGGGGGGAAACATGGAAGAGTATGTGGAGAAAGGACAGCTGACAGGGAAGGGGTCTCCTGGGTGTTGATGACAGATTGAACAGAAGCGGCTACAGAGCACACTATGGTCAGCCATCGTCTTCACAGCTCACATCCATAATAGGAGCTGGCAGCCTGAAATTAGTCACCGCAGCAAAGTGTATTATTTTTGAAATGCTTTCACACAAAACCTCCTGACCACATATACAACTTTGTCTTATGCTTCGCATCCCACCCCCCCTTCTATTTGCTGTGTCTAATTGTTTGCCACCTGCCACTGAAATGAGCTGCCAGCCATGGAAAGGTCTTTCATTTGTCTGTCAGGGCAAAAGTAGATTGAAAATGACAATTTTAAAAAAGGAGGGGAAGAAAAACCTTTAAAGTAAAACGCATGCGGGAAGTCTGCCTTACATGAAAGGCTTAAACAATAGATCAACAAAACAAAACACTTGACCTGTATTGAATACGTTAAAGACATACTTTTATCTCCACTTCCTTGATTTTTTTTTTTCTTCCATCTTTACAGATTAGATGTTGATGTTTCGTGGTGAATTCTACATTTTGTTATTTTACGATAACATCCATGTGGTTTTATTGTTTTGTTCTTTTGCTAACAAAAGCATATCTTTGAAATACAAGACAAGAATACTTATTTTTGGTGAAAAATTGTATCTCAACTGCGTGATATTTAGGGTGATATACGATGTTATTCTTTTCTTACTACACATGAGGAAAAAGGACTGTAAATGATATCTGGTCTCAGCTAAACAGAAAACTTTACAAATCTTTGCTGTTCCCTCCTGCATGGCTTCTGGGTAAGGACTTTCTTATAACAATGCCTTTTTATTCTTACCCCTCCACCGAAGAGACCAAATTTGCAGACTGCATAGCTAAATTAAACAATTTATCCCCACTGAGCCACAGATTTCTGTAGTTTCTTTATAGCTGCCATGAGCCTTTTTGGCTGCTTGTCTAATCAGCGCTCTTGTGAGTTTAGCAGTGTGGCTGGTACTGTAGGTTTGCAGTAATACCAAATGATTGTTTTTTTTTTAAAAGGTTGTTTAAATGGTGCTTGGTTAAATGTTTAAATCTTGGGATAATGATGTTTGACCTAAATATATTTAAAGCTAAATACAACTTTATCCCAAAGCTGTTGGATGTGTTACTTGGTCTTCATTATTCTTTTTGTCTGTGTCAGTTTTGTTCTAGTGTTTCTATCTACTGTTGTGTTTGGTTCTAGTTCCCTATATGCATTGATAATTCATTTCTTTCCGTATTGAGTTATATTTAGCTTAGGATTTTCTACTGCTAATTAAACTCATGTTGATCTGTTTTGCATCCAGGAATGTCCATTTTAATATGTTGGAGCCCAGGTTTCATTCTTCCCCTCTTCCCTCTTTTCTGCTAGGCCTTTATCAGTGTAGTTTAGTTCATTTTTGCTGTTTTCTCTTCATCTTTGATATTCCCTTCCATTCTTCTTTAATTAAATACTCACTGAAGATTGTAAGTACAGCATTTTCTCCTTTAGGGTTTTCTCCATCTTTTTGAATAAAGCACTTTTAGATTAGAATCTTATCTACAATTTATGAAGAATGTATTTCTTCGGGTACACTTTAAATCTCCAGTTGCCACAGACTCCATTAATATTCATCCTAAGATTAATCTTTGCTTTATTCTCTGCTACTCAATTAAGACAATCATATTAATAAAATATGTGCAAGATAAACCATACATGATTCATGAGCTCTAGGCCGATGAATTATTCATGCAAAGCAGTGTATGGTTTTAGCAACGTCCTGCTGATCTAATCTAACATCTCAGCCATGCCAAAACATACGTTGAGAAAGCAGCAATACGTTCCCACACAGTTCCTACAATCAACAACATGCTGGTGTTGTTCTAAAATCTGTCAATTTAACAGAGTATACTGTAACTGTAGCTAGCTCTACTAGAAAAATATCATGTTATTAGTGTTCTTTAGAGCAAAACCTCCCTGATGATATTAATATTTCAGTAGGCTCCCTAGAACTTCTTGAATATTTCCTCTTCATCATATTATTAAGCCAATTTTAAATCAAGTTTTAAATAACTTGCTCTACTGCTGTTTCCTGTGTAAGACACTTATTGTGCTGTCTATTGGGCTGAAAGGTCACTGTGCATACTTTTTTGTATAGTTCCGAAAGATACTTCAATAAGAGAATATAAGCAAATGGTAATAAGCCAACCCTAAATGGCTCGCTTCTAGCTTGTGACCCGGAAGATAGACTTTGGATATAAAACAGCTACAAAAGACGACAAAAGTGTGCGTTGTTTTGCAGAGGGAGGATATCTGGGGATTTGCTGCAGATGACAACAGGCTTAGCTTGTGACAGTGCAAAGGCCTGGCCTTTGTCACCCAGAGTTACTGCAGGATATTGAACAAGACATTATCTGGCACCTTCACAAACTCAAAGGCCAACTGCAGACCCGATAAGGACAAGCTTCTCTTCACTGTCAGGGAGCTGCTGCAGACCCAAAGTCTCTGGATGTTTTCTTTTTTGTCTTTTTAATTCTTGGCAGAAAAAAATGTTGCATGCGAACAGAATTGTGAATTAGTGGTCTGTCTATTTTCTTGTCAAATGTTTTATTTTGAGTTTTCACATGCTTTTCGTTACATTTTGTTATGAATGATTTATTCTTTTCCTTTTTTAGCAGCGTGTGCTGTTTTATGTAGTACCATCTATAGATAGAAATTCATTTGGCACATTTTAGAGTTCATAAAATTTTAATATATAAAACTTTCACTGACCTGAAAATTGCAGCTGTAAGCAGCTAATTAAAGTAAGGATAACTTAATTACACTAAAAACTGCATATAATATAATTATATGTACAAGTAAGATGTATTATTTGCATTCTTAGTAAAAAGCTTTAAGCTGTGTTAAACAGTAACTGTAAGGTTAATCATTAAACCTTAACTAAACTAAGGTTTGTAAAAGCCTGTGAATAAATTAGTCTTTTTATTACAGAATCAGAAAGACACTCTGCAACATGTAGAATAATCTATAGCCCCTAATATTGGGATTTTTTTTTCTTTCTTAGTAAGAGAAAAACTCTTTTATGAAGAAACTCCCTATCGTTTGGCAGAATCCCCTTCGCCAAAAGAACATCTCCAAGTCTTTTACTGTGAAATTTAAAAGAAACAAGTTTTTATTTTTGCTATATTTAGCTTTATTTCTTTGCTCAAACTTTTTAAAGAATAAATAAGAATGTTTTATTTCTTTTTCTCTCCTCTCACTTGACTGATATATTTGCACGTTTTGACAACTAAATCTTGTCATGGTTTTTCTGCTAAGGAATGGCCAGTGAAGTTAATTTCAGTATTGATTTTTTTTTTTTTTTATATATATATATATATATTTTACATGCTGTTTCCCAATTTCTTTTTTTGTTCAGTCTTGACTCCAACTTTTTCTGGTCGATGTTAATTTTTAATTATCATAAGCTTGGAATTTCTTTAAAAAAGTTGTTCAACTCTGTGTTAATATTATTTTCAGTGTTTGTTTAATTATAATTTTCAGTAGAGCAAAGAAAAATAATTGTTAATATTTCTATAGCTAACAAATGAAAGTACATTTCATATATATCTAGTTTTTTTTTTCCAGTTTAGAAAACACAAACATGAAGCTTTGTTAGTTAAATTCTTCCAGTTGCTCTTCTGGATACTTCCAGGAATCTTTTCTGTTTGTTTTTTTGTTCAGTCACTGTTCACAGAGGGACACCAGTAGCAGAGAGCAGATCTAAAGGAAAGTGGAGTAGCTCAATTGCTGACCTTCACGTTTATTTACTTATGTCTCTTGTGTATATATATGTGTGTTTTTTTCAAATGGTGCAAGTTAAAAGATGTGGTTACAAGTCAGGATGTTTACTTTTTAAATACCCTCACTAATGAGTGGGCATGCTTAGGCTGTCTGCGGCTAAAGGCAGCGCGAGATGAGAAACATTTGTTCTTTTTTTTTTTTTTTAGCTCACTTTAGAATTCTAGATTTTAGTTCTATTTAATATTCTATATAGTATTTCATTTTTGTATTTCACAACCACAGGGGAAATATGCTAAAATAAAATCTTGTCTTTTGGTTTTGTGTTTGTGCATGCTTTTTTTTACAGATTATACATCTTCATATAAAACTGGTGTTCGTTTGAATGACAGGCGGACAATTTTAAACTGTAGAATCTACAATTGTAGCAAAAAAAAAAAAAAAGACAATTAAAAAAGAATAAAACATAGCTGATAAAAAACTTTTACTCTCAATAATACATTCTTAAAAAAACAAAACATTTTCTTAAACCGGAATTATTTTTGCTTAATTATTTTATTTCAGAAAGTATCATTAGTGGAAGCACATGATAATACAAGTGTTTTTTCCCAGGTTGCATTGCACTGTGTTCTCCGTACTGCATTTAGATATGAGATATTATTCTATTTCATTCAGCAGAAATCAATCTAAATATATTATTTGTTTCTTTGTTTGTTTTCTATCCAGTTGTTATCAGTATTTGTAATTTGGATGCATTTGTTTTTTTGATATATAGGAGTGTGGTGGTACCGGTAAAGAAAACCTCCCCTGGCAGCTTTGCAGTTAACACACTTGGAGCCAGCAGCACCAGCGCCTCACCTGGGCTTTTAAGTTGCAGCGCTCCCAACATCTTTGCTGCTGCATCTGCAACTTCGAAGAGCATGATTAACACCACTGGTAGGTGTATCAAAACAACCTGGAGCTCCCATCTAAAATTAAACTTCTACCTTCAATATCAGTATAATTTATTTTTAATAAGTGGAAATTTAGACCACTTTAGGTTTGCTGGTCATTCAGATGACCCAGCCTGTTTCCTGTGCTATTTGAAATTCACTTTATCCTGTATTTGCTTTCTGTGACCACTAGATGGCTCTATTTGCTCTCTGTTCACCCGTCGTAGCTGTCCATACTCAGCTAACTGCAAAATACTATTCTGCACAAATGACTGCACCCCTCATTCCCCAAATAGAGTCTGCTTTAAAATGCTGTAAACCGATGCTTTTCTAGAAATGAGAATAATATGTGTATTATATATATTGCATAGCAATCATTACTGTCTGATTGCATCACCTTAATTTCCTCTTGCCGTTATGCTGTTTCTCCTGACCCTGATGAACTTAGTTCTCCTTAGTTTATGCTGTTTGCTATTCTCAAAGAATCCTTTTCAAATACAAATAATTAGGAGCTTCACCATTTTTCTCTATGTGCTATTTTTAAAAATAAAAAACCCCTCTCCTTTCCAAGCCCCTGCTCAGGAATTTGAGAAATGTATCCTAATAGAAATGTGCTTTCTCTTAGTTAACCCGCACGCTAACACCCCAATCCCATGATCTCTTTTTGCCTCATTTTAGCCTGGTATAAAGACAGTGTCAACATAATTATTTGCTGTCATGCAAATATGACGCTTCACATTCGAATTGGATGTTCCGATACACTAATAAATGCCTGGAAAAAGGTCAAATTGTGTAAATAAATTGCTTTAGGAAAATTACTGTTTTATGATTTGAAAGGTTTTGAAAAGGTTCTGATTAAATAATATAATTCTGATTATAATCTAGAACCAGGAGAGAGTTTTTTTTTACTGATTCTAGAATTAGTTTTGCTCTTCATAAATGTTTCATGCTTTTGTTTTCCTCCCTGCAGGAGCCACTGAAGCAGCCTCTGCTTCTGCATCATCTTCCTCCAGTTTTGTCAATGGAGCAACCAGTAAAAATCTCCCTGCTGTGCAAACTGTGGCCCCCATGCCTGAAGATAAGGTGGAAAACATGAGGTAAAGCATGGCTGTTCAACCTTTGTGGGATAACCTGTTATTAAACTCACTCTATGTGACTTATGGGGTAAAACATCTGCTTATAGTTAAAGATGAATGCGCGTGATTTATAATAATTGTAATTTATATGTTTTCCCCCAAAATGTTGTTGTTTTATGTCTTTTTATATTTTGTTTGTGTTTATTTCATTTTTTGTAAAGCAAAATATCAAAAGATTGAAAAGAATTTATAGCTTTTAGCCAAACTGTTAATGGGAATGCCCGAAGGTTTGGGTGTATATCTGGTTTGGAATTTGTCTCCTGTTGACTGCTGAGAATATACAGTAGGTCTTTCTCCACAGTCTCTTTATCTCTTTATTTGCCAGTGTGGTGCCTGAAGAATAAAAATATGGTTTCCATGGCAGCAGTAACTAACATCACTGCGCTAGACTCCAGATTTAGATGATAACACATCTTAGCTATAATATCTGCTTCACATTGGTTAAATAACATATCTGCTGTTCTGCTGAGATGCCATGTTTTTCTGTTTGTTCGTGGAGCTTCTTATTTCACAAGATATCCATCTTTTCTGTTTGTCTGTGAAGTACACCATAATCCACTACCTAAAAGACTGACACCCTCTGAGCTCAAACCTTTTAGCTCTCTGACAGGATTACAGGCAGCCTACGGAGATGCAGGCCCACGTCTCAGGGAGGACATCTCTCCGAGTCACCTAAACCTTCAGCATCCTCCCTTTTATGCCAGTGTGTTATGCCTATGTTGTGTTTTCCCAGCTTGCTTTGGGGCAGATTACACTACACATCCATCCAAATCCTACACCAAGCCTTCCTGTCTTTCTCTTTCAATCTTTTTTTTGCTCATCTTAGGAGAAAAAACAAGCTTCAGCTCTCCTCAGGTTGCCCTTTTCATCTTTTTTTGTACACATAAGCGCAGGGAGATAAGCTAAGGCTCGGCTCACATCCGTATTCAGTCTGAGTTGAATAGCTGCATGACTCTAGATCACTGATTTTCTGAAGGTGTTCAGATAATGTCATGCAGAATTGTATAGTAACTACTGTACAGTTCTCGTTTCCCAGCGCTAATTTACAGTCATCTCACTTGTACCCCTGACCACATGTCTTAAAACCTAAAACAGATTCTCAGATGTGTTTCAATAACTTATCTTATTTTCACCTGCGGAATATCTGCCTCCACAACCTGGAGAGTGTGGACAGTGGCTTGCAATGTCCGCTTTGTCATCTTTTTTATGCTTGAAACTTTATATCATTTACAACTTTAAATTTGGCTAAGTTTTCAATGTGATTTTTGGTGTCCATTTTACAGCATTACTACAAAATTAGAAAGAGCATTGGAGAAGGTGGCTCCCTTGCTGAGAGAGATCTTTGTGGACTTTGCTCCCTTTCTGTCACGGACTCTGCTTGGCAGCCACGGACAAGAGTTACTTATTGAAGGTAAAGGTTTCATATTTTGTATAAAACTTTCAGTGCTATGTTAGCTATCCTGTCTCTGTCAACCTCCTTTTTGCACAGTATCTCACAGGCTGCTCCGCAGATGTGTGCACACAAGAAAGAAATATTTTGAAACATTTTCATCTTATTCATCTCTTACAAATCTTTTGCTTTGTTTTGTCTTTTTATGGGCCATTGTCTAGATGAAATTCTTTTAAACAAAAGGTTTCTTATTCACAACCAAACCAATAAATCCTGAAAAAAGTATTTTAATTTTTTATTTTATTACATTTTTGCAAATATTGCCATAACTTGCATCAATGCAATTACTGTAATGTTTGCAGTCACAGTGCCAAGAGCCAAAACAATATCAGATATTCTCAGTATCAAATGTATTGCTAATTTTTTTCTGCTCTATGGGGAATTTAATTAAAATAAATCTTTTCCTTTTCCTTTTTCCTATGGAAACAAGTATAGATTAGTTTTACTCATAGTTCAATGTGAATTAAAAGAAATATGAATCTGTCACTTGCACATCAAAAATGAATGAGCCTTTCCCAGTTTTAGTAACTGCTATATATTTCAGGGCTGCAACTAATGATTATTTTCCAAATCTATTAATCTGTCAGTTATTTTTTTGATTAATTGATTAATAATCGGATATCCAAATCCGATTTTTTTATTTTTTGTTTTCCCGAATTTTTTCCAAGGTGAAACTAAAATGATTCTACTTTAGGAGTTCTGGATAAATTATATTGACAGATGAAAAAACGTTTTTTTTTATCTTAGATGGAAAATGTTTAAATTTCTTTTACAATTGTGGAATAATTGCTCCTCAAGGTGGGCTGCTTTGTCAGCAAAAGGCATGTTTTAGAGTTTGTACATTCCAGTTAACGATTAATCGATTACTAAATTTGTAAGCGATTATTTCAATAATCGATTAATCCCGATTAAGACATTTATAACATAATGTAATTTCTATTATTTAGCACAAAAAAGAAAAAAAAGAGTGGTCTTTCATTATGAAATGATCTGCTCAGGTAGCCAGGTTTCTGTTAACAGCTAAACTGTATATGTTATAGTTTCACATTGTGAATATATATTTTATATGAACTGAAGTACAGCTCAATTTTATATAGTAGCCTTCTTTTAGCCAGCTGACCACTTTGTATCAACAGGTGGGAGAAGTTGTGTGAGCAATTATAGAAAATTGTTAAAAAAGAAAGGTAAAAAAAAAAAACTACTTACTGCTTGCCATATTGCCCACATTGTTTGCAGTGATGCATACTTCCTTTGCCTTCCTCTTCCATTTTTCTATGATGGTTATGTGTAGCCTCCTCCAGCTTCCACTTAAAATCATCTCTGTCAGAACTCCTTGTGCCTAATCTCATGGAATCATATGAGATTCTTACACTCCTTCCCCAGGCTTGCTTAAGCTTGCATTCACAAGATTACAATGGCACTTCAGTCAGTATGCACATGTGCAACACACTGTCTGCAAATATGTGCCTGTGTGTAAATAGTGCAAATTATAGTTTATGGTCTTTTGCCTTTTAACATGCGGACCAAAATTATTTTGTATTATCTAATATACAAAACTATTTTTGTCTGAGTTGTTTATATAGTTAAATAAAGCTTTATTTTTTTTTTTTTTTTAAAGTGTCTCTGCTTTATGTAGGTGGTATTTTAAAAATGCTGTAATAAAATGTTTTATTTATGATTAACTTTTCTATTAAACCAGTTGCTAAAACTCTGCTTTATCTTTATTTTATTTTTTTCCCCTCCAAACTTTATTTTAAACACGTTACCCACCAGGAATTCTACCCTCATAAAACATGGTTGCACCACAAACACATCTTTGGATGACATTTGGCCAAGCCTTCTTGCTCAATGTCAAGAGGGAGGAAAGAAAACTCAGGTAGCAAAGCCTTGACAAGTGTGAATATGTCTGTTACCCTTTCACTCACAGTCTGTCAGCAGACTGACCAAGCTGACAAACCAAAGCTGATCTCAGGCTGCAGACTGTAACCCCACAAACAAGGTCGTAGATAGACAGCTGGGTCCTCTGCGCTCCTCACCAGACATGTTTAACCCTGTCTGCGTCTTTGAAAAGCACTGCTCCTCCTGGATTAAAACAGGTTTATCTAAAATAAGAAGTGCAGAGCTTCCTTATTTACAGATAGATTCTTATTGAATGTTTTACTGTATTGAACCAACTCAGTGTATTAGCCACAGTCTGTTTGTGCTCATGTTGATTTTGTATTCTCTTCTGTTTCTCTCTCTACTTTTCCTCCTGGACCTTCCCAGGCACACAGTTGAAATACTGTGCTGCAGTGCAAAGGCGCTCTATTTACCAGTAATTACCACCCATCCATCACTCTTTTGATTGCCTTGGGTCAAGCCCTCCTGTGCCCCTTATGCCCCTTTCCTTCACCCTGTTCCTTCACCCCCTTTTCAGATGCGTGGTCACTGCAGCAATTATGTTGAGTGCACTGAGAGCTTCACACTTGGAGCTGGTGGGTAAGGGCTCTGCACGAACACTACTGCTGTTGTGATGCCTGCCGCCTGCTTCTCTGTCCCCTGAGTGGCCCAGTCTGCCGCCACATCACCCCACAATGCCACATTCACCCGTGTCTCAACCCTGTGCTGTTTACAGGAAAGGACTGGCAGGGCGTGTTTAAATAGAATGCATTTAGTTTGTCTACCAGCACAAGGCCAGGGTCAGTCGGCCACCTGACTCCTGTGTCAAACCGTACTGACTTATGGCTAACATGTCACTGCTATAACAAGAGGTCAAATGTGGCACTCCATGTACAAGAGAAGGGTCACTTCCTCTCAAAGTACTTACAATATGTTCCTTTGGATAGCCTCTGCTCTTAAACAGAGAGACAAACCCAACACTAAATGATCCATCCATTTTTAGTTTTCTATATTTTTCTTTTCTTAAAAGTCTGTGTTGTTGGTTTAAAATTCATAGCTTTAATTTTATTCTTTTCATCAGTGATTGAAGTCCACCTAAAACGTTTGAAGACATTAAAGCATTATAACAATAATAATTGCAAAAATATTATGTCTTACATATATGCATATATTTAGATGTAAATATAATTTTTTAAATATATTTGTCTGTTAGGAGGTTTATTGATTTGATTATTATTTAGCAATAAATAAACAATTATTTAGAATTATAGAGTAAATGCAAAGCTGATAACTAGGGATGCTGTTTCATGCAAATGTGTTAATGTATTTGGCTTCCTGTCAAGAAAAAAAAATACAACAGAAAGTAGTTTTGAATGCAATTACAACTACAAGTAAGATTGTATAGAGATGATCTGTAGAAATATTCAAGACCTCAGGACTCTGACTTAACCCTAAAATACTCTTATTAAAACCATTTTGTCTAGCTTTGGCTTTATTTTTAGGTGTTCCTTCTTGTTTCAACAAGAATTTCAATTTTAATATCAGTTTTGCTCAGATTTTACAAAGGCAGTTATATGCTAACGCCGAATGCATGACACAAACCATGTAACATGTAAGGAAAAGGTATTTGTTCTAAACTTGTTCTAAAGGTTTCCTCCATTTTCCCCCCCATGTCTTCTTATAAATTGCTAACTTATTATAGCTTTATTTCAATAATGGATATTTTCTTTCAGTTTTCATGCTAGCTTGACATGTGGGTAACTTTCACTCCAGCCACCTCTTCACTGCTCGTCTGTTTAATGCTCTCTCTGCCCAGTCTGTCAGTTCATCAGTTCATAGGGGTGGCCATGTCTCGCTAAGTTTGTAGTCGTGGCATATTCTTCACGTTTTCGGATAGTCGACTAAACTTGATAATATGTTATTCAACATAACCCTGTTTTAAAGGCTACATATTCTGCTGTTTTTTACCCTGTAAATAGATTTTACTGTGTACTTGCCTCTAAGAGGGCAGAAAAGTTGAATTCATTCCTTCTAGGTAGATATCGGTGCGATCTTTTTGGGTCATTCTTTTCAATCCAGTCCATTCATTTGATTCAAAACTGAAAAGGGAAGGAAGGATTTAAAACATTTTATGTCCCCTTTAACCTTCTTCAATTCTTTTTGTTTGATCTTTGTTGTGTAATTTTACCATTAGAATATGAATGTATTAACAACTAGAACCGGAAGTTATAGTTAATTAATACGTCATACAAATCAAGGGTAAAACCAAGTTATGATCACTACTTAAATGATAACTGATATTTTGCTCAATTACCAGGTGTTATAAACAGCTTACCATTGTGGCTGGACATTTGGACTTGCTGTTAAAATCTAAGATCCATCTATTGTCTAACACGCTTAATCCCAAGTGGGTTCGCAAGGGGTGCTGGTGTCAGCTTTCCATGGGCGAGAGGTTGGGTACACCCTGGACAGGTCACCAGTCCATCGCAGGGCAACACAGGACAAACAACCATTCATGCACACTCACACCTAAGGAGAATTTAGAGAAGCCAATTAACCTAACAGTCATGTTTTTGGACTGTGGGAGGAAGCCGGAGCACCTCAAGAGAACCCACGCATGTTCAGGGAGAACATGCAAACTCCATGCAGAAAGAACCTGGGTAGGGCATAGAACCCAGAACTCTCTTGCTGCAAGGCAGCAGTGCTACCCACTGCGCCGCTGAGCAGCCCTAAATCTAATCCTAGATCCATAAATAGTAAATGCCATAACTTTGTTTATAATTCAGAGTTATTTATGATTAACCACATGGAAAATATTTCCTTCTATCTGTTCAAGTTGTTTTCTCCAAGTAAGTTGAGTCAGCTTTGTATAAACAATCTGACCACCGCTGTATAAATAATCACAGAAAAACCAAAATTAAAATTATGTTACTTTTATTTAACCTAATAATCCCTCTCACAGCCTTATTGTTTCATGACCTATGCAAACACTACAACTACTGGAGTAAACACAGGATACATGAAAGAATCAGTAATGAAACAGTTCGTATTGAGCACTTGAGGTAGTATTTGATCATGTTCATTATCTCAGCTGTTATGCTGTACTGAGGGAGTGTTTCTCAGATTAACAGCATAAATGGTATAAAGCAAACAGATGTGTAATAGTGGATGTTGGTAAAAATCAAATCAATCAAGTTTCACTTATTCCAGCAATAAACAATTACCAATAAACACAATGCATTTGATGGGACAACACTGAAATATGTATGGGAATGAGTGATTGTGTTGCACAGCAACCGATAGCTTAGCAGCTACGACAGTTAGACCACAGCTAACAACAGCTAACCAACGCGCCACAAACAAGCTAACGCTATCAGTCTAATTCTGGTACATCATAAAAATGTCTTTTAGCCATAAACCAAGCTGCCTTTCATAAGATGGTCAACACCCAAACACATGGCAGCTTGTATAACAAAGTGAAGTCAGACTGGTAAAATGCACATGAGGACAAACTAGATGGGAAACGCACAAAACATGACAAAAACACAACTTCACGAAGATGGAAACGACGGCAGTAACTCTAAAAACACAAGATTTGAATGTTTGTCATAAACCTCACCAAAAATAGTTCAGGAGCTCCTTTTTGATAAACAAATCAGCATCTAACTACTAATTCTACTCAAAAATGTATCAAAATGATAAAAAAAATCCTTAACTTGCTGCTGTACCACAGCAGTGGAAAGCATGGATTTTTGTGTGGTTCCATTGTGAGCATCTGTATTGTCGATGGCTTCACCCCAGTGGGTCACAGACAGAGGTGACAGGCAGTCACAGTGGCTTGGCAGGTTCATGTGATGAGAAACGCTCACAATGGAGGAAGGCAGGCAGCGACTCAGTGGTCCTTGGGTCAGAACCACGCGGGGAGCAGAAGGGAACACCGGACACAGGTGTTGGGCCAGGACAGAGCCTGTTCCTATCTATTCAATCGCATCACAGAGATCTGGACAAAGGTGCATTACCAGCATGGTTCTGCTGCAAAAACAGACCATGGTTCTGGAGATTGAATCACATGTAACTGTGGTGTCCAGCTGTGATGTTGGGTTCTCTTCTTGCATCAGACCGATTTCCAGAAGAAGAGAAAGAATGAAAGGTTTTCTGGTTGTTTTAAAGGTGCCATGACTGCGGACTGCATCAAAACACATCTGTAATCTGATGCTCTGACATTTAAGTTGTAGTTCCAAACCGTAACATCTATCAGATGTTATTTGTGCTCTTCATGGTGTTTTTTTCTACCTAATATGTCTTAACAACCTTTAAGTCTTTCACCGTATAGCTGCTTTAAACAGAAATGATGTTCAACACGGGTGGAACTTCTGTTATTTTTATAATATTTGGTTGCACTGGATTTTTTTCACTGGTATGATGGTAAAAGAGACTGAAAAAGAAATGCAAACACATTTTTTGTTTACAACCATTAGTCATTTTACTTGTGCTTGAAAATTGTAATACTTTTAGTAAAAATCCTAGTCAAAGACTAAAATTTTGATCTAAAAAGTAGAAAAGGTCCAAAGGGTATAATCACATAGCAAGACACTGTTGTTTCTTTTACTGCCGAACCGCAACATTGAACCAAAGCATTCATTCGATTGAAGGTTTTAGTCAGTCTCATATTTAATTAGTCCTTCAGAGTTACTTTCACTGCTGATTGCACCTTTTATGATTATCTCCAGGTGCAGCAGAGAGGTGTAGAATAAAAAAAAAAAAAAACAGTTGCAGACTCTATCTTCTACAAATGAGCTTTTCACACCTGTCCATGTTTCATTAGAGTTGTCTGCTTCGGTGGCTCAAGCTGGAGGTTAGGGAAGAAGCTGTGAATGTTTGCTGTGAGTGTACAGAATTTGTAAATGTATATGTGATTGTGTGAAAAATATGTATCTGTCAAAGATGTTTTTTCAATAGGTAAATAAAAAGAATAATAAAACAGTGTTTATGGTGAAAATCCACTAGCTTCACCAGTTGAAATGATAATGTCCATGCTGCACTGATAGCATTGTTTATCTAACAGGCATTATCTTCAGTTTAAACTAATAAAGTCATAGCTATCCTCAAACGCTCTTTGTTTTAGACATATCTACTCACATTCCTACTTGATTTCTTCTCCTTTCATCTGCTCTCTCTGTAGGTCTCGTATGTATGAAGTCAAGCACCTCAGTAGTGGAGCTTGTCATGCTTCTTTGTTCTCAGGTGAGATTTTTTCCTTTTATTCCCCTCATCTTCACTTACAACTCTTCTCCCTTTCCCATTCTTTTTTTTTTCCTCAGAGTGTAAGGTCTTTTATTTATCTTGAGCTTAAGGTATCTTGTACGTATCATTTAACTTCACTTTCTTCAAACGAACTGACCAAACCAATCAAACGGGCGTACAGCTTCCTGACAATCCAATGACTTTCTCATTACTCCCAGCAGCACTAATCCCAAACCCTGCTTTAAGAAAACGAGCCCCACCTCATGTCCCTGCAAGTGACTGATCACCTCTGAGCTGACCCTCTGAATCCCTTGTTAAGCCCATGTTTTAGAGGAGGTCAGAGCCCTGATGTAGCAGTTACAACAGGAGATATTTAACATACCTTCTGTCAGCCCATCAGTCTTACATCAGGAGCCCATAAGGAAGCCATTACTTGGTGCCTCTCTGCAGATCCAGACTGCAGGGCCTGAGACTGGAGGATGAAGATCGCCACTCTAGCTCTCTGTGGTATCCAAAATCCAAAGCACTATACAGCAGGGAGCTCAGTCTCAGTTTTATGGATGCCATTATTTATGGTTTTCTCTGCTAAAAAATGTGCATAGATGGGGCAGCCAGCACTGAGTTAATATAACTCTTTTTTTTTTTTTCCTAAGGAACAACATTTTGTGATGTTTCTTAGTCTGTAAAGTATCTATGGTGAGCTGTCTTTCCAGCTCCAAGATTTATTGCAGGTGAGAGCATCAGCGTGCTGTTAAGGGTCTGAGTCCATCCCCCTTTTAAACAGATAGCATTACTGAGGCTCCAGAGGTTCCTGCCATTAGGGGCTCTGGAGATGAAACCCAGGCTGAGATATTGATCAGATCATGAGACCTTGAAACTGGACTATATAGCTTTGTGTCTACAGCCTTTCAACTAGGGATGAGACATTAGCTCCTAATTCTCCTCTCTTCGTGTTCAATCCACTTATCTTAGCATCTAATTTGATATAAGAATAATGGTGGTGTAAGTTTTTTTGTGGGTGTGTTGTTCCTTTATGTTACAGTATGGCCCAGGGAAAGATAGCTGTTTAGATACACGGTTTCACTCTTTTTGATGGGTCATATGGCGAAACATTGAGTTTACTCAATGTGTTTGCAATGTTAGTTTACTCTGTTGTGCAACTGACAACTTTTTCTTGTCTCTAAGATATCTGATGCTCAATCAATATTAAACAAATAATCAAAAAAGAAATAATAGTATAAGTCAGGCATGTAGAGAAAAATAAGAAATTATTTATAGAGTTGATGTTGGTGTTATGATGTGCTGTTGCTAGCTAGACATCTGATTTAAAGAACATCACCAAGAGTTTGAGTTGTTCTCAAAATCTTGGTGATGAAACTAAGAATACAAAGGATACAAAGAGAATTAATACAGAAAAATGACAAATATTCACTCATCAAAACAATTGAACTAGATACTCTAAGTGTAGTGAATGCAATTACTATAATTCAATATAAAGCCAAAATAAAAATTTCTTGATTTTTAGATAAAGGACTCAAGTTCAAATAATACTGGAAACAGAGTCCTTTAATAAAATAAAAAGGAAAACTAAAATAGAAAAAAATATATATATTTTTGGAAGAATGAGATCAATGTACACAGCGCAGTCTGAAAAATGAGTAGACAAACAGAGGAGTTGAGAATCTAGCTACATATATAACATGTCAGTCTTTTGGAAGAATCCATCATAGAGTGATGAGAGCCAAAGAACTTCTCTACTGAGGTGGAGCAAAGCATAGAGTGCAGGTGAGAACAATCAGGTGAAAATGAGGAACAGCTGGGTAGAAGGCAGGGCAGCTGGGTGTGGAAGAATATTGAACATGAGAGGAGCAGAAAAGAAATTAAAGTTTAGACCTAACCACAGAGAAAATAACAGAATGGCATCAGTTTAAAGAACACACACACAAGAATCACTAAAAATCAAGCACATAAAGATCATCAAAATCCCAGATATAATTGAACTAGGGCATGTGTGTTAGGAAGAAGTATATATAGAAAAGTATACTCTCCTGCTATTACATCTTTATGAAAGTTGATTCAGAGGTGGGCGGATCAATCCGAAAATGAAATGGCATTGTTGTTTATACTTCTGACTTTGGGCAAAAGATCCGTTTTTAAGAAGACATTAGGGACCTGGATATGGTATGTAACATATGTACATATGGTAAATGTGAGGCTAAGATCATAGAAGGAAATGAAAAGTATCTGAAGTATTTGATGGATAATATTTAAGCTAATATATAAGACACCAATATGAGAATGATTTAAGTAGTTGTGTTGATACTTGACTGTACTGTAGCAAAAGCAATCACGCAACTGGAAAGACAGCAATTTTACATTATATCCCAGTGTTACATCTCAATTATTTTAACAGTTCTCAGGGACAGAATAATTGCTTTTTTGGAGTCAAAACTACTTTGCAAAGGGCTCCTAATTAATATCTTTGTGAGTATCCCAGGTGACTTTTAAACAGCACAGCAGTTTTTTCCAATGCAGAATGAGCTCTGGCTGCATCTCCTCGACAACTTTGACACATTCCTTACATATTTCAGCTTTAATCTTTTAAGACAGCCAAGAGGACATTTAGCTGACCTTTAGTCCCTCTCTGTTTTGTGGACTGTCAGTTTTATGAATAAATTAGTGCTAATGATCTGCCTTTTCTTATTTATGCATACTAATCATGGCAATCATGGTGCGGCTGGCCTTGTCTGCAGACACTGTGTGTCTTTCCTCAGCCTGGGCAGCTGAAGGAAAAGGTCAAGCGGCTCTGTTTTTTGTAACAGCTTAAATGTATAGGGGGGGGTTATACAGAGATTTACTGATAGAAGGCCCCCAGATGTGGAGACTATAACAGAGCGAAGCTGAGTAGATAAAAGCAAAGGCTCCCGCACACTGACAGGTTGGATTGAAACACCACAAATACTTAAAGCCCCGCTGAATTTCAGGGAGATGAAAGTAGGAGGCGAGTGATTCTTCTAAAGACCTAAAAGCTGTTTACTGGGATGGGACTTTAGGGATTTATGTTGTTTTTTTTGTTTGTTTTTATAACCTATGATGAAGAATCGATAACACATTTGCTAGTAATGGAATCATGCAATAGTTCTTCAACACTAACAAGCGTTTAACTATAAGTAAAGTTATATTGCATACAGCTTTTAAGATGCTTTATAAAGTAAGATTGATCAGAGACGCTACGTTCTGGTAGGGTGAGGGTTTACATTAAGGGTCACATCTTTTTAAGAGGATGCATTTCAGGCTTAATTTGTTTCAAATGGGCACCCTGAGAAGTTTTTTATTTAATATCCACTATCAAAGGCAGCCTGTTTTTGGAGTTTTTCTCTCTTGTTAAAAAGAAAAAAGAAGGTCTCTGAAGTGCTATCTCAGCTGTCAGCATGCATTCCTTAGACAATATGGTACAATTGACTTGCTCTTTCCTTACCTCCTCTCACCCGCTGCCACTTTTCTGGCACCTTCCAGAGTGTCACATCTGCTTCGATTTCCGTATTTATTTTTGTCACGTGAACGAGGTTAGAGTCAAACCTTGGACGACTGGGCATACATGAATCCTGTCCAAATCAACAAAAGCATATTTCTAGGCAGATACTGTATGTGAAGAAAGGAGGTCAGGGCGAACATTTGGAGCCCAGATGCTCAGCAGTTTGTCAGCGCCATATCACTGACTTAAACCATCATGGGGTCAGGCTGTGTAGTCTTGCATGAACTAGAATGTGTCATTCATGACAACTGTTCACAAAAGCCTTTGACTATACATGATAATGTCAATGTCAGTTATTCTGATATACGCAGGGAAACCTGCTTACCTTGTGCAGACGCAGTGAGTTAGAAGTTTGTTACTGCTACACAGATTTTTTTTTTTAAGTAATTGGCTCCTGGAATTCAGTTGTTTTTGCTCTGCAATATTTAAATGTTTACTAACATTTCACTCATTTTGATTTTAGAAACTAAGATTAATAAGAAAATGATTGCCCAGTTAAACCATTAGTCAGCTGAGGATTTAACTTAACCCCCTTCACTGCAAAGCTGGATTTAATTTCACCCAGTCACACCCCACTACTAGAACTCCAGAATCAGAAAATCATAAACAGAACATGTCCTGGTATTAATACATTCAGGAAAACATTAGAAACAAATTCACATTCCTTAGTTTGCTAAATAGCATGAAGTCCTTTTTAAGGTTTTAGAGCAATAGTGAATCACAGTGAGAGCCATTTCCCACACAGAGTGAATACAAAGGAATGGTCAACCTTTCCAGAAGTGGCTTCCCTTTCAGGGTCTGGACCGGGGTCATTGGGTTTGTCTTAGCTAGTCTTGGCTGGCGCTTTGAACGAAGGGGACAGAGTCTTTGGTCCAGAGGCTGCTTCAGTATTCAGTCCTTGGAATATAGGGTGCATAAATGGAGTGCAATCCTACGTACGGCATCCGGGTTTAGAGGTGTGACTCTATGTGTGTGTAGGTGTGTGTGTGTGTGTGTGTGTGTGTGCATGAGGCTGGCAATGTTTGGCTGTGACTACATGTTTATGTTTAGCTGTCAGATGGGGTCTTGGGCTGCCCCCTCCCTTGGATCATCTAAGCTTTTCCACCAAGTTCTCTTCTGCTGTCACAATCCCTGCCGGTGTCCGGTACCGCTGCCTGCCATTGCAGGGCTAGGGTGCCTGGCGGTGTGCTCCCTAACTTCTGGTTTTGGGGGCAACAGTGGGGTCGGATGTAGCAGTTTGCCCCTGAAATCAAAGGGGTGACGGTTCAAGCCCCAGCTCCGTCTTTCAGTGTTAAGTCTCCTGAAAAAAAAAAAAAGTGCTTTATATGTACAGGCAATTTATAGTTTCTTGCTAAGACTAAAAGCCCTTGGCTTCATGGCACCCATGCTGGGGGGAATATTGTGCTCTTGTGTGTCGAGTTGGTAACGCTCAGGGGGTCAGAGTTACGTGGTCATTTCTGAAGGAGTTCTCCACGGTGAAACGTTTAGATGTCTGTGTCGCTGACCTCCTCCATGTCAGCCCCCGCCTGAGTGTGTTCTGATTCCTTACGGCTGTTATCGAACATTTTAATGAAGAAACCTTATAAATGCTAACATGCTTACATATACACCCACAGGTGTTTCGATTAAGCTGTTAAAAGATACACCGATTACTTTACACTTTAATAGGTATTGACTTGCGTTTGCCACTAAATACCTATTAATCATTACGGTGTACTTTTCAGTAGCTCTGGTTTTGTTATATACCGTATAAGTTTGCTGTTTCTATTTTTATTTTATTTTTTTGCATTTCTCTAAGTGTAGAAGTAGACTTCTAGTGTATTACAGGTTATGTTATTCGTCCTTCTGTCTTTCTCTTCTCTATTATTTTCTAATGTACTACCTTTTTTCATGCTTTGTCCCATCTCTCTCCCTTTCCTTTCTCCCCTTTGTATTTCTGTTATGCTGCTGTTGCTGCAATAAACGACACACTGAAGGATGCAACTATGATTATTGTTCTTCTAGCTCAACAATGAAAGAAATGACCACAGAGTAGTTTGTGACTTTAGGTTCAAGTACCTATGAGTATTATGCCTAGATAATGATCCCTACTCACCAACTCAGTTCAATTACATATAATATTAATAATTAATTACAGTTATTAAAAAAAAAGTGGAAAATATGTTAGCTTTGGATTTACCTAGACTGGATGATAACTTTTACATATCAACAGGTTTGTTGGGTACATGTACTGTAGATTAAAAAAATAATAATAATCCATTTTTAGCATTAACTGTTGTTATATTTATGTAATAAATACATTTGTTTCATCATCTGAAACATTTAAGTGTGATAAACTTACACTAAAGATAAAGAAACATTTCAGGGAACAAATACATTTTCATGCATATGTATACTCTATGTATATGGCATTTAAATTACTCTTCCTGATTGATATATGTGGACTTTTCTCTTTTTAGTACCCTTGAATTATATAAATTCTCCAAACATTTGCGAATTCAAAGACTTCCCTTTCATTTTTTTAGCTTTTCCCCTGTTTTTAAACTATGGCCTTCTCTGTTTTCTCTTTCATTTGCACCTCAGAAAGGTTACAGGAAACCCAAGTTTCCCACAGTGAAAGGCGAACACTCAAACTGCTTTTTAATCATTTCCAGAGCCTGTTGTGAGACAGCAAGTGCTGGCACTCCAGCCGGGCCTCGGCTCGGATCCGTTCCAGGAGCACACTTCAGGGCTCACTGAGCCTGCTCAGTAATCTGTCACTGTAAGGGACAGAGGAAATGGCTGTATTTAAGCGAGAGGATACAATTTCATCCCACAATTACATCTCTCCTGTGTTTACAGATCTTTTCACAGAGGAAGAAAGAGTTGCCTCACATGTGGTGCAGAATTTCAGCTTTTTATAGAAATCACTTTCTTTCCTCAAAGGATATATCAACTAAATGCTTTCTTTACCTACTTGAATTACAAGCTTTGAGATGTAATCTAAATTAGATTTGAAATATTCATTTTTTTCAAGATTTAGTTACACAGTGGATCAAAAAAGTCCTTCTTATTCTATTTTCATATATCATAAGATTCCGCTTTATTCAAGATGTTTAATTTTTGATATTGATGCAATTTATTGACTGTTTTTAACTATTCAAGGACTCATTCTGTTTGTTTCAGGAGTGGCAGAACTCCATTCAGAAGAATGCTGGCCTCGCTTTCATTGAGCTAATCAATGAAGGAAGGTAAACCCGCCATTAACTTTAAAAAACACATCAAGCTATAGTTTAAATGGACTTTTATTATCATTATGTATAGTTAAATGTCTTTTCTTTGGAAGCCATGAGAGGTTGTTCAGCTTAGTGATATAGTGCAGATTAGCCCTTAGTTAAGATTAAAGGCAAGTAAGCTTGTTTTACTTGAATTAAGAGGAACAATGTGAGAGTACAGAGTATCTCTCGTGTTTTCTGCCTGTTTGTTCAGTTCTACTTCTCTCTCTTTTCCCTGTTTGGGTGTGACCAGACTCAGGGTTTTCTGAGCAGATCAGGGGCAGCTCAGCCTCCTTGTCCATCTGTTGACCCATCTGGCCCATCCTCCTGCATGCCCAGGCTCTTGCCTTGGTCCAAACAGGTTCCTCTGTGTCCCCTGCTGGCCCTAGAACAAAGAAGTTCAGTTGGTGGGGCCACACGGCGCTGTCCAGGGTGCTGCTGACAGACACAGAATTTTCTAGTCTTACACTAGTCTCTGTACGTCTACTCTGCCTAACTAGACAGTTATACAGGGAACGGCTGGTAAACCTGTTTGTTTTACATGGTGTGGCTGACACCAACGTTGTTCCTGCTGTATGCAGCGACGCATTAGGCCAGTGGATTTCTTTTTTTTTTTCTTGTTAATAATTCAGCCGAGCAAACACTGAACAGATGCCTTGAATAGGTGGTTATATTATAATCCCATAAGACCCTCTGTTTTTAGGTTTTACATGCAGGGGATCTGACATACACTCCACCCAGTAACTGATTATTCCCCATATTAACTGTATAAAATAAAAATAAAAAGTACATTTGCATGGTTAAAGCTAAAATGAGCATCAAAAACAACTTTTTAGTTGTGAAATATTCACTTTTGGCTTTTAAATGTTTCCTTTTTGCACAGTGTTTTGTGTCTGGGTCTTTTTATGCTCTGCCTATTTATTGTGCTTTCCGTGCATATAACAAAAATACCTGGTAGATAACTGATTTATCTTTTTTTTTTTTCTCTCCCCAACTGTAACTTGTCAACTTTCTTTCACATCTATTCTTGGTTTCGAAACAAAGCTTCACGTTGTCAGCTTTCTCTTTGAACTATGAACTCCTGTCTGTTAATGAGTGCTTGTCAACAGTTAAAGAGGCAAGAGCAGCTGATGACTGTAGTCTCGAGATTCCAGATTAATGGCTCTCTTTGGGGACAGAAGGCAAGGCTAAAATTTGTATGAAGCTCTAAAGAAGAAACAAGAGCTGTTTTAATTAAAATAAAACTTGCCTAATGTTGCGCGAAATGGGTTGTAATCCGCAACATATCCAAAGTGAATGTGTTTTTTCAAACTATTTTTCAGACGGTGCCATTTCAATGTTTATGAAGGCTGTTAACCTATAGCTTCTGAGCTGAGCCTTAACAGCTTTTTAGGCTCTGTGGGGATTTTATTCATCTTTATCCTTAGATACTGTATCATTATTTTATTAATTTGGTTTATTTTATTTTTTCAGGTACCAAAATAACAACCTATTCTTTCTCAGCCTTCCAGTTCAGGTGGTTTACAATATTTGAATAGATTGACAATAGTGATGTATAGGATGAAATGTTTTTTTTAAAGCCTGCCCAATTTCTTCACCACTTTTGCCTGCCTAGTGCTCTTTGTAATGCTGCTTCGAACACATTCCTGAGGCATTCACAGATTAGTTGGTATGGCACAGAGTATACATTTTATTACAATGTCCATTAATTTGTACTATTATGATTATGATTGTTATTGTTATTGCAAATGACAGTCATATGTGTTCCTTAACTATGTTTGTGGAAAATCCAAGGTTGCTGTGCCATGCCATGAAGGACCACATTGTTCGCGTTGCCAATGAGGCTGAATTCATCCTGAACAGACAGCGAGCTGAGGATGTCCACAAACATGCAGAGTTTGAGGTATTAGTTTTTATTACATCTGGAGATAAATAAACCAAAAATCTTCTTCCTCCAAAACATATCTTTTACTATGAATGGTGCTTTTCTAAATCCCAACTGCTCACAATTATTTTTTGTGTAGACTTCACTAATCCTTTTAGCATAAAAAAAAAAATCAACTTTGTGGGCTCAGTAATCATGTCTCTCTAAGGATTATCTCCATACCCTTACAATTCTTTTAAAGTCATACAGTTAGAATTAGTTAATATATATTAAAGCAATTATAATTTGTTGCTAACCAATTACAGGGCTTACTATTAATTAAATATTCAATCCACACCCTTCTAACTTCCTTTAAAACACAAAACCTATCTAATTTTCATCTTAAGATGTTATAAAAAGGTGTCTAACCTGTTTATTTCAGCATTGATTTTAAGTAAAGCAAATAAAATTAACAGATGTAAATATAATAAACAAATGACATTACTTGTGTTCATATAACTTTTATCAATTTTTGTCTTCTTGGAAAAAGATAAAGAAAATATTTTTTTCTTTATTATTAAATTTTTTACTGTAAAAGTCTTAACCTTTGCCAGTTCTTCTTTACAGACAACTTAGCCTCAGATTGGAAAGACATTTTATTTCAGTTTATTTATGTCAAGTCAGGGAACAAATATAATTTTTTAGATAATCCTAATGTTTAATTTTAAGCACGTTTTTCTCATTAACTATACAGATGAAGATATTGCTCTTTGTTTAAAGCCAATGTATTCCTTTAAGGTGAACCTCAGGCCCCAGCTTTCCCTTTATTTAGCCTTTCTAATACCGGTAATCTCTGACCGTCTCGCCAGGCAATGTTAAAGAAAAGCAGGCCCACAGTATGATGCTACCACTATTATATTTACAGTGCGGATGTTCGGAGTGAGAACATACATTTATTTTCATATAGGAAAGAAGAATGAGATGATTTTAACTCATCTGAATGCTGCTGGTTGATCTCCATTTTGTTTTAGGGTATAACAACAAGCAATACTTTTCTTTATTTTTTTAAGTTATTTTATTTATTTAAAAAAATGTCTTTGTCCCCACATTGCATAATTAAACTACTTTTGGTTATTTAATCAATTGAAATTCTGATTTAAAACATTAAAGTTTGATTATAACATCATAAGAAGTACAACATTTCCAAGGTTATGAATACTTTACCATGTTTTACAATTTAAGTACTTTGGACACCTACAAACCTCAGCTCAAACACTTGGTTCACCTCTGTTTACAGTTTGTACATGTGAGCAATGACATGCCTCTTATCTTAGAAGTGCAGCCAGCCACAAGCACCTTCTTGATATACAGTTCTTGAGGATCCTTGACCTGCTAGATAAACTGGAAGAGGCGACTAGATATGTGATGTCAGAGAAAGGAAGGGAAGTGTACCTGGCCCTATCCGTCCTGTCTGCCATCTCCTGACAGCTTACACCTTTCATCTGGCTCTGACGTTACTTTATTACCCACTCTCCATGATTGAAGATTCAGCCTACAGATAAGACATTTTACAATTAGGCTAGTGTCAAGAAGAAGTGTCGTATGCTTTAAAGTGATAAATAATGTTTGATATTTGTCAAAGTCACGTGGTAATGCAAGGTGAAAGGAAGCAATTGAGTTATTTGCTTTATGAGAAATATGTTGAAGTATGGTGTCTGACAGAATTCAAATTTAAACCAGGAAATTCAATTAACTTTCAGCTTCTGTTAGCAAATTAGATTGTGAATATTAGCAAGAGTTCCCTCAGGGTGGAAGAGTAAGACAATCTTGTTTTAGAACCAAAGACAAGAGATGTTCTGGTTTACTTTCAGCCACTGACATTTTTCCACTGCCCTTAAATCAGGAAAGGCACTATAAAGGTTAAGTATTATATCATTTAATCTGTTCTAGTTTTATCTTTGTTTAAGGAAAAAGATTAATTTATGTATTTTTAACTATATCTTTCTAATGGACTTTATAATATTGTCATTGTAGCAGTAATGGAATGTATTTTGTGCGACCATTAGCATTTTTTCTCTAATAGAACCATCCAAAGCTACCTAGCAGGGAGCCTCATCTGTCTGCAGTTTGGGAATGAACTGCCTCTATGTGCTTGCCATGATTTACAACACTCCTCTAAGGGAGCAGAAATACATCTCTCAACTGTCCACTAATATCTTTATGCACTCAAGTGTGGTGAATAAAGCCTTAACATTCCTCAAGGTGATAAATGTTCTATTGGGGAAAATCTATTATTGAGACTTTTTTCAAATAGAATCGTTTGGAATGTTGTTAGTTTAATGTTTTGCATGTTTTTTGTGTTGAAACAAGGTCAACACTTTTAATTTAATTTTATTTCTTTTGTTTCTATACATCAGTCCAGCTGTGCCCAATATGCTGCTGACAGAAAAGATGAAGAGAAGATGTGTGACCATCTGATAAGTGCTGCTAAGCATAGAGATCATGTCACAGCTAACCAACTAAAGCAGAAAATTGTCAACATCCTCACCAACAAGCATGGCGCTTGGGGTATACCATGCCAGAGGTAAGCCGTTACAGGGCAACACCCCATACAAACCTTGTCTTCTTTCATCTTTAACATCATCGTATGATATCTGTGTGGCCCAAAGTTTCACGATTACTGTGATCTTCATGCAACGGATGGGCAGTTAATGTCATTTTCCCAGGATCCGATCAGAGGGTTAGCAGTAGGGTCAGCAAATGCAATTACAGTGTAGAGTGAAATAATCCCCAGGGGACAGTTGATTGGCTAGTCACCCTACATACATGGATGAGCAAAGGGGGTTGGTATGTTTCGGCAGCATTGTCCAGGTTTTTATTGACCTACTGCAATACAAAGCATTGCACTTGGTGGAAGCAGCAAGGCCACGCCATATGAACCTCGTAAAATAACAAGTGGCTCTTCTGCTCTCACACTAGCTTCTCTGTGTACGTACATAACACATACAGTTATTTCTACTAATGCCAGAGGAATTGTAGGAAAAAAATGAAAGAAACTGCACATTAAGACTTTGCTGAAACAGAAAGTCGGATGAAGTATTTACATAAAGTCCAGCTCCTGTGGGAGCAGCCTATAAATTGACATTGGTCATAAAATAGACTATGTTGTTTGTTTTTATTGTCCATGATGGCCCTGATGCCTCTCCACATGCTGTGTGGTTTGTTGTTATGGAACTGTTCCTTAATTCTCTGGTTATGTCTGTCTCTGTCTGCTGGATGTGCTTCCCGAGCTCTTTCTGCACTCTGTTGTTGGACATTTTGTCTTCTGATCTAAAAGCTGCCCCCCCATATATTAGCATATCCCAAAATGTACTATCTACTGTACTTAAGGTTTATGTTTTGAAAAACAAACATTGTTTTTTTTTTTTTTTTTGGTATCAGTGCAAAGGTGGATGTAGGACAGCTTTGATGTTTTATATTCCTCCTATGAGAACAATCTTCTCTTTGTATGACCCCCCTAGTCTGTGTTGTTTGTACAGATTTGTGCCAACTTGTTGGTCCAAATCTTGATGGTTCTGCTGGTGGGATTGTTTCTGCTGCTTAGGGGGCTTTAGGCTGGAATCAGCTCTACAGAAATGTGGTCTGACATTCTAAGATGAGGATCCGGTGCTGCTCTAAACGCTGGTACTGTATGTTAACATTCACCTGGTCTAATATATTTGTCTTTATGGAGGGAAACATTAGATATCTGTGCAATATGAGCAGAAGACCTTTACATTCTATATGGTTAAAATCTCTTTGGAAACAATTCATTTTTACTAAATAATTTCAAGATAGTACCAAATCTATGATGTGTACAAAATCACACTTAGTTATAGTTTCAGTCTAAAAATGTTGCAGTATCTAAGTGCTAAATCTGACTGAACCTCAGCAACCCATAAAAATGTGCTGGGTTGAATTTGGGGCTCATGTTCAAATATTTATGGAGCCCCACCAGGAGGCATAGCATTTGCATTGAAACAAAAGGTTATTGAGTGTGGGTGCATTGTAAATGATACAACAAAACTTCCAGCAAATTCAAATTTAATGGTAACCTGCTGGTGAAGAAAAATGATGCAATATGCTCACAAGCTCAAGGCAGTGTTGCAGTTCAGCAGCTTATTCTTATTCACTGCTACATTAACTTTCCCATTTATGCTGCCCTTGTAAAATATAAAACCCCCAGGCTTTGTGAGGAGCTGCATGTGTATATGTGTATGTGTGTATGTGTGTGTGTGTGTGTGTGGAGGGGGTGGGGGATCGTCTGTGTATGCGTGTTCTTGTGAAGCCTTAACTTGGTTATGCTTTCTCCCTCATACACAAACTGTTTTACCTTTTTATTGCTAAATCCTCCAGATATGCCAGAGGATATTTATTGTTAACATAGAATGCTTCACAAATTAAATTATTCTTAGGGAGCCAACTAAATAAAACTTGTGTGACTTGTTTATGTTTCCTATCCACCAGTGTGTGTTTACAGCTGATCTTATTAGACAGCCAAGAATTAGATTAATCTGTTTCGTCTTTTTCTAAAAATATTTGCAGGTTGCATCCCTGAGAGCCACTTTGTTTTGCGTTGTTCTTATCAGAGCAAACAGAATTAGGAAGTGAGGCTGCAGCAAAAAAGACAACAGGCAGCTATAAGGTAATAATCTGGACAGGCTTTGTAAACAGCTGCTACAGTCATTAGATTAGACTAAAGAAAAGGCAGATCGGACCCTACGGTGGCCTGTTTGATCATACTATATGCTTGCCTGATGATGAATGTCCCCTTATATAGAGCCAGCATAGAAAAATCAATACTCCTCAAATTGAAACAGTATAGGGTTGTATTGATCCACTGTGCTAAATCAAAATGAGGAGACTTTGATACATCTCTCCCAGACAGCTCTCTGCTCAGTAATGACACACTATCAATTTTAGCTTTGCACTGATAAATCAAGTTGAAAATTGGATGTCAGAATTTTTCCCAGCAAGAGAGAGATTTCCTCTGCCCCCTGGAACCCTCTGCTGTTGACCTTTGAACCCTGCCAGCGGATTATAAAGTTCAGACTCATCTAAAGTGAAAGTGGACGTCAAGGCAAGACTGATGAACGCACTGCAGTCTAATGTCCACCACTTTCTTAGCAAAAGATATTAAGGTCCCATTACTATAAATCCTGTCTGTGTAAAAACTGAAAGGGGAGAATGAATTACAAATTTGTTTTATGCAGTGAATATTTTTGGCACTCCCAAGTACTTTTTCAACACAGATATATGTTCAACCTCTTCCACCCCACCTGAACATCAGCAGCATCACTGACAGCTGACAGAGGAGCCTCTCTGGCCTCCATGGCACCCCTTAACCCTACCTGACTAGTCTATTGATTGTCAACATTTCTTCTGTATAATTACTTTTTGTAGCAAAGGAGAAAGGAAAATGGCGGCACATATTGATCTGTGGCAAGGCAGTGAAACAGCCGTTTCCCTTGACTAACAGCGGGTTTCATCTCTTTCACTTGATGAATGGTAACAATCTGCCCGTGGATAATAACTTTGTGATGGAATGAACCTCTTTACTCACTATGTGCCCAGAGTATTTGGTCTTGCCTGAAAGGGTTATCAATTCTAATAGAAGTGTCCAACTGCGTGGGGGGTGGGGACCTTTAGTGGGCTTTAAAGCTACTGAGAGGTTTAGGTCTGATGTGCCTTTTGGGGAAGAAAACAAAGGTTATGGTCTCCAGTTGAGTCTAACAAGATAAACAAACTTAAACTTGGTGATAAAAATGATGTTTTGTAAAAATATGTTGACAAGAGAGTTAAAATGTTCTCTCTCATCTGGATTTGGATTGAATTTAGTCTTTTCTGGATATTGATTGTGATTAATGTTTTTAAATATTTGGCTTTGTAAAAGAGGAAAGATCAAGCCTGATAATTATTTTGTACCAATGCCACTTAAAATATTCAAGTTTTAATCCAGAAATGTAAAAAAAAAAATCTATCAGTACCACTTATTTACATGGATGGATTAAGATTCGGTTACACACATTCAAATATATTTATAATACATTCCAGCTAATATCTAAATATTGTAACAGTGGGAAGGAACAACTTTCATTCACAATCTTTTCATTGACTTTATCGAATACTTAAATTTTTATCTGAGATCCAGTTTTCAGGATAAGGGTTCAGGGGACACACCCAAATATCACTTTCCAACTCATCCTGTTAAACTGTAAGGCGTTCTTAAGCAGACGGGGTATGTATGTATTGTCAGAGTGGGACGGAGCTGGAAAAGTGAGGCAGGACAGGAGGTGTCCCGATCAAATAGCTGAACCACCTAAACTGACCTCTTAGTGATGCAGAGAAGCAGCAATGAACATAGACCTTCATATTGACACAGTTACTGACTAACCGTAGGTATTCCAGATTTTCAGTAAATAGAAATACTAACCAATGGAGCTATGCAATACATTATAACATTTGATTTTTTTATATATATAATGATTATTTTTAAGTAAGAAATGCAAAAAAAAAAACACCTAATAGAGCATGGGGTTGTCCTAGAAACAGAGAACTTATATTTAAAAGCCTAAACCTGTAATTTTGTCGTTTATTTCTATGCAACACGTTGCCGCGTTCATTTGCTGGAGAATCAAAGCAATTTTTCACTCTAAATATGATTAGTGTTATTTGATTAGTATGTCTTGATAAAGATTTCTCTGACATGCAGTTGAGGTTAAAGAGAGCATGCATGAGGAGAAATGGGCTGGTGCATGCTCTCGCATACTTTTTATAGCCATTTCGGGAACGGGTACAGGGTTGTCTATGTGCATTTCTTTTTTTAAGTGGATAGACCGGGTCTTCCACTATACCTTTAACAGAATTAGTATAGTATATATTTTTTGTCTGTATCTTCTCTAATAATTTATACATCCCCAGTTTATTAATATGCAAAAAAAAAATTTTATAAAAGCACAGATGTCTGTTTATTCTCTTTTAATTAGACCTTATTGTAAACATAATAGTCCATTGTTCTGGCTGCCTAATATATTTTCTGTTTTTGACCTGTTTTTTTTGCCCTTGGGCCACACTTAACCTTGTTCACTGTGCTAATTATATCTGGAACGGGGCCCATTCACATAATCATCCATTTTATTGGGTGTTAAAGTAGAACTGGGCGATGCTGGAATGACACATTTTATGTAAAAGATGGTTCTAGATAGCTGGTGATCCTGGGGAGTTCTCTAACATTACAGTGTGCTTCTACCTCACATGTCTGTCTTCATTACAAGAGATGAGCTGGAGTTAATCTTGCTGCTGCTGTGGTGTTTCCCTTTTGTCTTTTTCCCTTGAGCACATTCTCCACGCTATCTCTTAATCTGCAAAAGAAGAGTAAAAAGAGAAACGAGAAACATTTGGACAACTTTTGTTTGAAGTAGTGTTGAGAGACATAAATATATGAAATATTCAAATTAAAGGGATGAAAGTTTTATGTATTACTTGCAGCCATCTACGATAATAAAATCATGATGGTGACCATACAGCAACTAGATATTTGGGATC